TAATATGCATATTCAGGACGAGAACATGTTAATGCAAGAATTTGTATAGTAATTACTATAAAAATCCTTGGTTAATGTTATATGAATATTAACCCTGCTTTTACTAGACCGACACGCTGAGCCGGATTTTTAACGTGCTAGTTCACAAGGTAACAGTCCGCAAGAAGACATGTCACCTTCCCCGGACACATTATTTTGACTCCGAGCCGACCAGTGTTTGCCCTTACTCCTTAATGCCGCGTGCTTAGCGGAGAAGCAGCAAATACCAATTTAAAAGCCTTTGGTTTGACCCAGCCAGGGTTCGAACCCACGACCTCCCGCACTTGAGAGACTTTATCTCTTAGAACTAAAGCAGTTAGAGCAAAACTGACATGATCAAAATGATGAACAGGTCTATCCCAAAAATTATAAAGAAAAATTGGACAATACGTTTGGGAGTTATAGCCCTTAAAATGTTGGTTTTTTTGGAAAATTTCACTGCTTTAGGCTTATATCTCAAAAATGAAAAGTTGCAGCAAAACTGACAAAGGCGTAATAATGACCAGTATGTCATGGTCATTCTCCCGTGAAATTTTCAGTAAAACGGGAGAATCGATTTTGGAGTTATTGCCCCTTTTAAAAATGTAAAAGTTTAAGGTCATCTTGAAAACTACAGAAAGAGAGAAATATTTTACCGCAAAAAAAATTCAGAACAATAAGATCTAAAAATAAGTAACCTGAACAGAACTTGTCAATCGACCACTTATAGGTGTTATCAGAGGCGGATTTAAGAAAAAGGGGGAAGGGGGAGGGGGAGGGGAGCTGGGTGCCCGGGTCCCCCTTGTGGAGCTTTTTTTTTTGGAGGAAACTATAAAAGATTAAGAGAATCTTTCAATGTAAAAATGTTCAGCAAAAAAGGGTCTACAAATAATCACTGACATGGACAAAATCGTCAATTGACCCTTTATAGGAATTGTTGCCCTTAAAAGATGATCTTTACCCCCCCATGTTTGCAGAAACGAAAATAGAAACTGTAAATAGTAAAAATGTTCAGCAAAATAAGAGATACAAAAAGGTCAGCATGCACATAATCGTCAATTGAAACTTTATAAGAGTTATTGCCCTTGAAAAGTATTTTTTACCTATTTTTGCAGCAATATTAATAGAGAGAAAATGTAAATAGCGAAAAATGTTCAGAAAAATAAGATCTACAAATAAGGCAAAATTGCTGATGTATCAATTGACTCCTTATAGTTATTTCCTCTGAGTGATGATTTTTACCCATGTTTTGCTTTTTTGTCAAAAACTATAGTAGAAAGAGATAAACTTTAAAAAGCCAAAAATCAAAAAATCAAAAAAAAAATCAGCAAAATAAAATCTGCAATTAAGTCAAAATGGCCAAATTGTCAGACTTCTTGTAGGATTTATTGCCTTGAAATGACAATTTTTTATTTCTTTCTATACAATTTGGCCAATTATTTTGAAATGTTTAATAGATATACAGTGGAAACATTAAAAATGATCATTAATACAAGATATATATTAATGCAACTACACAAGATTTACAAATAAGTAAACATAATTGATTGCAATAAAATAAAAATTAAAATGTCTAAAGTAGGCGATAACATGTTTTTCTGATTGGAAAGTCTGTTTCTGGTTAACTGAGAAAGTGTGAAGAGGTTGTGAGAGATATACAGCACATCATATAACTACTACATGTATTTCTGTGTCCTGATTAGTCAGGTGTAATTGTACAGGCACTTGTCAATTTGTTTGTGCATCTATATACCTTTATAAAGGTTTTTTGGTTAAAAAAAAAATCTAAGACAAGAGCTTGAAGGAATTTGATTATATAACATCCAGTTTTCTTATTCTAGTTATTAATTGAGGTTCTATATATTGTTTTATTTACTAAAGGTAAAAATATACATGTCAATACTATTTTATGATGTTCGGTGAGCAATATTGGTTCATTGGAGCTTTTATTCACACTTGTCCTACGGTTATTAAAATTTTGGCTGTTACTTAAATTTTGACATTACTATTGATGATATTCAAATTTTTTCTTAAGATCTGGTAGTGTTTTCACACCAAATCTGACCAGAGGTGTATTGATTGATACTCTGATCATGGAAAACATATTTATATCAAATAATCTTGGATTTTTAAGCAAGCATAAGCAACTACCCGAATCTCCACGTCATTAATGTGCGTCTCTCATTGAGTTCTTTCTAAGTTGTTGTTGTCCTTAGGACCTTCTAGGGAATAAAGTTTTTCAACTGATTTTTAAGATTTATTAATTGCAGTGCTATTACATAAATTACATATATAGGAGGGTTTAGTGCTATTACCATATACTCTTTTTCTGTCTAATTCCACTTCTTGTCCATTAGCTATTAGATTTTTAACTCACCTTGGCCATGTCACCTAACTATTGTTCTCACTTTGCATCTGTCTGTAAATAAATCCAATCTAAACATTGATTAGCCACTTTTCATTGTGTGAAACATTTTTATTAAGATTCCTTATTTTGTTCACATAAAAAAATGCCAATTTTTTTTTGTGGGACATGTCTTTTCTATAAATAAATTGTTTGATTCTTTTACTTTTTGAGGAAGAAAAAATCATTTGTTTCAGGAGGGAAGCAAAATTTTTGTTTTGCTTCTATTGAAAATTTTTATCTTGGACATTTATTTTGGTTGTTGTCTGATGGTGGATCAATATGTCCTTAACGTGGCCAACCAACTTGGGACAATTTATCTATATATATATACAAACAACATATTTTCTTAGCATGGTCAATGAATTAAACTACAGGGTGATATGATTTAAATTTTTGGGGAATGATGATTGTAAGACCATCTACAAATAAAGAGCTGCGCCATGAGCGCATGATAAGCCCGTCACTTTTTCAAACAATTAAGTTCCACAACTCCTCAATGTCATATCAGAAATTCATAAAAAAAACTAAAGGGAGATTATTTTAATAGATATAAACCAGTCACCAAAGTTTCATGAAAACTGCTCAAAGCACTTTTGACTTCTTGTCCGAAAACTGGAAAATCCCCCTTTTTTTATGAATGAAATCCCATAACTCAGAAACGTAAAATCTAAAATCTATAAAAATCAAAAGGGAGCTTACGTTAAAAGAAATAAACAAATCACTTAAGTTTCATGAAAACTGCTCATAGCATTTTTGAGTTGTTGTCCGAAAACTGAAAAATCCCTTTTTTAATGAATAAAAACACAAACGTAAAATCTATAAAATTTATAAAAATCGAAAGGAAGCCAATAGAAAATAACAATTCAGTTTCATGCAAATTGGTTTAGCATTTTTGAGTTCTTGTCCGACATGTTGAAGACGGACGTACACACAGATTATTATACCATTAAACGTCCCGTAAATGGGCGTATAAAAATACTCTTTAATGTTAATTAGGTGGCAAATACAGCAGCATTTGTGGTACATCCTATGAAAACCATTTTAAAAAAAAAAATACTTCACCAATTTTAAGAAAACTTGGCAGAAAGGATGTTTTGAACTAAGGTCCTCTACAAATGATTCTCATATTTTATTAAATTGGATGAAAAACATGGGTGCCAAAGGTAACATTTGATTCTAATTGACCAAATTTCAAAACTCTTTTTCTGTGAAACTGCAAGGTGAAATGCTTTGAAAATTCAAATGATCGATGATCAGAAGACCCGTTATAACCCATTTATATCTAAATACTGATTCATGGCTGCATTTATGATATATTTTCCACTGAAACCCTATGGAAAATCATGTTTATCATTGCTAAAATTTTAACAAGATGTGGCATGAAATATTTATAGAAGGTACAAATGGTTATTTATGGTTACAATAAAAAAAAAACAAGAATGTGTCCATAGTACACGGATGCCCCACTCTCACTATTATTTTCTATGTTCAGTGGACCGTGAAATTGGGTCAAAACTCTAATTTGGCATTAAAATTAGGAAGATCATATCATAGGAAACATATGTACTAAGTTTCAAGTTGATTGGACTTCAACTTCATCAAAAACTACCTTGACCAAAAACTTTAACCTGAAGCGGGACAGATGAATGAACGGACGGACGCACAGACCGAAAAACATAATTCCCCTGCTATTGTAGGTGGGACATAAAAAAAAAACATGGCTGATAAAGGCAATCTTTTATTCTTATTGCCTTATTTTCAAAAATCTCTGACATAAGGGGATTGATGAATAACAAATCCATCTGAAGCAAAAAGTTTTCTTGCTCAATTGCTTAAAAAGTACAGAAGGATGCCGATATCATTTACATAATAGATGAATGATACTGGCTACCTGGAGCCTCTTTGTTCACATCTGGTTTATAAAAGAGGGTCTGGATAGGGAGGTCTTCATTTCTGTAACCTTTAAACTTTAGGTTATTTTTCTCTATTCTCTATCTTTTGACCCATTATTCTATATTCTTTATTTTTTTTGGTCCATTTTTAGCTATTAAACATGGCCGAAAGGCCAAGTGAGCTTTTCTCATCACTTGGCATCCGTTATCGTCATCCTTTAACTTTTACAAAAGTCTGCTCCTCTGAAACCACTGAGCAAATTTTAACCAAACTTCGCCACAATCATCATTAAGGTATCTAGTTTTAAAAATGTGTCTGATGACCCTGCCTGCCAACCAAGATGGCAAACATGGCTAAATATAGAACATAGGGTTAAATGCAAGTTTTTTCTTATTATTTGAAAACCGCTATAAATAGAAAAATTCTGACAGAGCAAAAATGTTCAGAATGTTGAGCTCTAACTATGTCCATTAACGTCAAAACTGTCAGACGACTTCTGATAGAAGTAATTGCCCCTAAATGAAGAATATTACCCTTCTTAAAATCGTTTTCCTAAAATCTCAAAAATTATAACAGATAGACAAAAACTTTTAATGGCAAAAATGATCAGCAAGACAAGATCTACCAATAAGTCAAATTAGACAACTATCTACAAAAGTTCAAACGAAGAAAATAAAAGCAATTATAGGTAAAGCCAACTCTGCAGCAGTTTATTTTTTCATGATTTCCTCATTTTTTATGTTTTCATATGAGAGAAGATTTACTTTTGACATATTTGCTAAGAATTATATTTGCATTGTTTTGCTTCTCATGTAACTTGCATGAATAAACACTCAAGTAACTTTGTTGATTTACACTATATACTATCAATATGCAAAGTATATAGATATTACAAATTGAAAGACATTTTTCTTAAATTTTACTCAATACTTTTATGAAGTATACAAATATATGCATGAGTTTCTCCTAATTTCATATAATGACTGTCAACATACAACAATTTCATAAACATTAACTCATCATTTTTAAAAGTGTCTTCAACTGAGTTCACCCAATCTGCAGTTCTATCTGTTTTATTTGCTAATATGCTTTTATGATGCCTTTTGCTTATCAAGTCTTTTACTTCAATACCCGTTTGGCTTCCTGAGTCTTCATCAATTGCAGTACAAGATTTGTCTCTTTTTTCCTTCTCTAATGAATTTGAATCTTGATTAACAATATCATTTTGCAAGTTAGAGTTATCGATTGTACTTTTGAGATTACTTTTATCTAGTTGATCTGTCTGTAATGGGTTATCTCCCATCTCAATGTCATTTTCCTGTTTTTGATCTGTATTTTGATTTACACTTGTCCTTAAAGATTGATCTGTCTTTGATGGGATTTCTCCCATCTCAATGTCACTTTCCATTTCCATATCGTTTTTCTGTTTGGAGTCTTCATTTGATTTCTGGAGATTATCTACCAGTTCAGTTTTCAAAGTATTATCTCCTTTCTGAATATCATTATCAATGTTCCTTCTAATTTCACTGTTTGAACATGTTGAAGAACCTTTTTCATCTGTTTTAACATTTTTTTCTAAAATAACATTTTCCTGCTTGGATTTATTTTTCTTTGAAAGAGTTTTTAACAGGAATCGCTCCATTTCAGGACTTGTCAAAAGAACTACATTTCCATCTGGTTTTAGTATTCTAAAAGTAAAAAAAAAGACATGTGAATTTATTGTGAAGGCAATCAAACCTTTCCCGAGAATCAGTTAAGAGTTTTCCTTTCCATTTAAATTTTAGCAAAGTGTACTGTCTCATTGAACAGATACAATAGCTATTGTTCTCTCAATGGGAACTTTTTATTTCACCTTGAAAAAAATAATCATCCATTGATTAATTTCGAAAAAAAAAAATCATAGTGATGAAAAAATTCGTAAGGGTTCCGCGGAACCCAGTGTCTCGCCTACTTTTGCTGTTAATTGCAGGCTCAACAAAAATGAGGAAAAAAATTAATAAAAATATTCCTCTCTATACTATCTTTTGATTGTAAGTAGCTTCTGTCCAAGTTTGGTAAAAATCCAGGATGGTTTTTGAATCTAATAAATGTTTTTAAAACTTTAACTGCAGACTGTATGTAAAGTTAACTGGAAGAAAAACTAAGTCCATTTATAAGTAAAATACGGAAAAAATGGAACATATTTTTATCAAAATTTTCTTCTAGATACTATCTTATGATCATAAATAAGCTTCTGTCCAAGTGTAGTACAAATCCAGGATAGTTTAAGAAAGTTGTTAAAATTTTAAAAACTTTAACCACAGAGTGAATGTAATGTTAACTGGCAGAAAAACTAAGTCCATTTATAAGTAAAATACGGAAAAAATTGAATTTTTTTTTTACAAAATTTACTTCTGAATACTATCTTATGATCATAAACAAGCTTCTTTCCAAGTTTGGTAGAAATCCAGGATAGTTTAAGAAAGTTATTAAAATTTCAAAAACTTTAACCACAGAGTGAATGTAATGTTTCCTGGCAGAAAAACTAAGTCCATTTATAAGTAAAATACGGAAAAAATGGAATTTTTTTTTTAACAAAATTTACTTTTGAATATAATCTTATGATCATAAACAAGCTTCTGTCCAAGTTTGGTAGAAATCCATGATAGTTTAAGAAAGTTATTAAAATTTCAAAAACTTTAACCACAGAGTGAATGTAATGTTTCCTGGCAGAAAAACTAAGTCCATTTATAAGTAAAATACGGAAAAAATGGAATTTTTTTTTTAACAAAATTTACTTTTGAATATAATCTTATGATCATAAACAAGCTTCTGTCCAAGTTTGGTAGAAATCCATGATAGTTTAAGAAAGTTATTAAAATTTCAAAAACTTTAACCACAGAGTGAATATTTGTGGACGCCGCCGCCGACGACGACGCCGACAGAATGTAGGATCGCTATGTCTCGCTTTTTCGACAAAAGTCGAAGGCTCGACAAAAACAGGAACCAATGCTGAATTATTGCACATATTGTCAAAACAAGAAATATCAATTACAAAATGATATCAATAATAGACTACTGAAAAACACATTGTTATCTATTTGGTCAGTACAGGAAAATAAAACTTGCAAAAAAGAAGATTCTGAAGACAATTTTTCAATGGAATGGTTCCTTATGCAAAAAAATTCAAATGGCCAGGTTAAATCCAACTGATTTTGGGGAAAGGTTTTATTTCCTTCACAGTAAATGGTATTAAGGTTCATACGGTAATAATGTTGGTTAGAATCATCAGACCAACTGCTGTGCCCAAGACTGTACTTTATTCTATATCTTCACCTATATCAACCTAGGACAACAGGTAAAACCAAATACTTGTTCTGAACAGAAATTTCATAGAGTATTAAACAGCTGACCAATACACCATTTCATTACTATTGAAACTTTGCTGATCAACTAAGAATTGGAGAAATTGGAAACACAGTATGTTTGCTCATTTGTAGATCTCATATAGCTGATATTTTTTTCTTATTTCTCTCTTTCTATTATATTTTATAGTCTTAAAAAATCCAAATATGCAAAAAATTAGCAAAACATAATTTAGGGCAAATGAATAAAATGAATGAAATGAATGAAATTACAAAATATCCTATTAAAGGTTACAAGGTACTTACTGCAAGGAATTAAAATAATTCTAAACAGGGTAGCTATAAAAAGTTCACCTTGTTACTTCATTGAGAAATCTTGTGTAGAAATGTTCAAGATCACAGTCAACCTTATGTTGTTTTCCAAATGGAGCATCACACAAAACATGGTCTATGGAATTATTAAGTAGAGGCAACTCTGAAAACATAAAATGCTTTAAAGAATATCATTGCTAAATAAGTTGTACTTTTGTGTTAAAAAAAAAAAAACAAGACTATTCAAAGTGAAGGCCAACAATATCAATAATGTCAGCTGTGATTACCATACCATGCTTTCTGTAATAGCAAGTACATTTAACCAGCATTTTCGAATTGTACGCTGTCTATTATTTCTCTGTTCAAATGAGTGGTCTTGGACCTATGAACTAGATAAGAAATAGGGGAGGTTTGTGTCCAAATCAAGACATGGAAAGATCTTGTGGTCATGGATACATACATATAATCCAGAGAATACATTGAATATCAGCAAACGCTATATGAACTGTATATACAACTTCAGACAGGATTTTACCCATTTAATCTTTAAAAACCTAAACTGCACGACTTTCAACCTTTTAATTCTCATGAAAAATTAGTTTGATCTTTAAGTGACATGTTTATGGACCAATTAACATCTCTGATGATTGTTAATCTGTTGATCATTCGATCTTGGGTTAAATAGTGTCATCACTTCTGATGACACGTGTGCAACAATTAAAATGATTACTTTGCAATTTCATTCAATAGAGACAATTTGTAAGCATAAATGAATCAGCTTATTTCTGAAAGCAAGTATTTTATTAAAAATTTGATGCATGTTGTTAGTAATGAAAGACGAACAAGTAAGTGAAAATGAACACCTGATTTTGCAATGTCACATAAATCATCATAAAACAACATATGATTATTTTCATGAATCTTCGTTTCTTATGGCTTCAATTGTCCACTCAATTGTTTTCAGAAAAATAAAATCCATGAATTTAAGAACAAACAAACATGTAATTTTTACTAAAAATAAGAAAAATTGATGCCCACGAATGAAGGTACATTCACAGTATTTGGACTATTGTGTTGGTCATTGTTGTTTGTATGTCCACTTGTCCACCAGAGGTATTGGTTGTTGGTGTGGTTTTTTGTACTGTCCAATATTTCTCCTTGTTATTATTGTTCATAAAATATTTCCAGTCACACTGTAGAATCTCATTAGTATTTCAAATACTAGTTTTCATATTTACTGAATCAAAAGACAGAATATGCATGTAGATTAATTTTTGTTAAAAAAAACCCCACTAGAATATACACAATTTTACTAATATCAAAAACAGGCTAAACTGGAAATATTACATGGTAACATACATGGTATCAAAAGATGGCACTTGGAAAATGGGTTAACCATCTATAGATGCAGAATTGTTCTTAAATTTCCGATGTATAAAATAGTCTTTAACACCCATTCATAGTTTAGATTTCAAAGTGCTTTCCATGGGTCCCATGTATGTTTTATGGAACAGCCCTACTATACATTTAGGACAAACTGCATTCATATATTACTATATTTGAAAAAATAAAAATTTGCTTACCTAACACACTACCTTTAAAGATATGAACATTGCCCTGTTTGGCAAAGTGAATGTTGTCTGTGGCAAACTTAATCTGGTTATCATCTTTGTCACTGCCAATGTATGTAACTGTCTGTAAAAAAATGGTATATGTACTGAAATTGATCACATAAATATTCATTGTGTATCTATTGAAATAAAATGAAGTTGCACAGCATACCCCACTCTTAACTCCAAGTATCAGAAAACAAGAAACAGGTGCCTGACAACTTATCAAGATCAAGCTGCTGACCAAGTATAAAGTCATTCAGTTTAGTAGTTCCTGAGAAAAGTATGTTTTCATTCAAATTATAGACAAATTGGAAAGACTATCTATTGATCCCCTTACCCCTATGCCTTTGACTATTCCATCAGTAGAGGGAGGTTCATAAGGAAGTCTTTCTATAGAATAAAGTATCTGCGCACAAAAAGTATATAGTATTTATTATTATTCGTTGGATACCAATTTTCGTGGATTTCGTGGGTATAGGTAAACCTTGAATTTAAATGTTCCATGATTTACAAATTTTCTATTGGTTTGTAAGCAAACTTTGGCAAAACCACGAAATTAAATATCCAGGAAAATGCAAGATTTCCTCAATCCATGAAAATTGATACCCATAAAAATAAATGAATTCACAGTAAGTGTCTGACAGATCTGAAAATTGTCCACACTTGCTCATCACTATCAAGCTGCTGACCAAATATGAGTAATTCTGTTCAAACGTTCCCAAGAATAGTGTGACAAAATATTTGTTGGGCAAAGAGAAGGACTGACAAAGCGATTGCATTATAGCCCTACTGCATATATTTTATCTAAATTAGTTATTCTTGATTCATTAATTTTCTGTTTTGCTGTTCGGCCTTTTGTCGGCTGGTCATATTTTCACTAAAACAGTAAGAGTTTTGGTCAAATATTGGAGATCACTAAGTTTCCTATTATAATCTATTTGGACGATGGTTTTGGATTAACTGTACAGTTTAAAACAGATACACAATCAACAGTTACTGCAAGCAACCTAATCTATATCTAGATTTTTGTGTCTTTCTTATACTGAGGATTTTAATAAAGAAATGCTTTTAATTCAGAAGAGCATGACAAGGAATCATTTAACTTTACCTTATTTTCATGAGCTGACTCCACTAAAATGGTAGCTTTTCCACACATTGGATCCAAAACAATATCACCTGTCTACAAACAACTGAATGCATTTAGTAACTTATTCTGTAGAAACCTGTAGATATTGAGGAACTGAATTTATTTTTCTTAAATTGTGTAACTGTATAAACACATTGACTTTCCAATGTTGAGTATTGAAATAAAAAAAAGAATCAAAAGTTGAAGTAAAACATACAATAATATAGAATTTGTGTCATTTTTATTTTATTTGAAGACTACAGTTGTAAAGCAAAATATTAACTTAAATCTCACTATAATGATTTGAAAATTATTGCTGGCTGTAGAAATAATAAGAATGCATGCTTGGTTTGCTCAACATACCCCCAGACGTGATTCAAAGTATTGGAAAACAGGAAGAAGTGTAGGGGTATAAAAAGCTACAGCAGATAAGATTATTTATAGGCTTACTAAAAAAAAAAAAGAAGAATGTGTCCATAGGACACAGATGATGCCCCCCCTTGCATATTACGTTATAAAGGGGCATAACTTGAGAACGGTAAAAGTGACGCCACCCAAATTTAAACTTTTGTGGTAATAAGCATTGTGTATAAGTTTCATAACATTTGGTTGAGGCAAAATAAAGTTAGAGAACGAATCAATTTTGGGACATACGTACGGAAGGACAAAAGTAACACTTCATGCTCCCTCCGGTGATGGCAGGGGCATAACAACAATATTTGAAAGGTGTTTCCATACTTATGTATAGTTAAATCTTATATGTAAAATGTTAAAACAGAGATAATCAGGCATTTCCAGGAAAATTTCTGCGAGAATCAATTAACAAGTTTTTAAGCTGACGTAAACAAGGAATAAATACAACACACACAACAAAACATACACAGTATATATTGGAACCTTTGATTCCTATTAAAATTAATCTTATGGAAGTAAGCTTGACATTGTGTTAGATTTTGTTAACCCTTTTGCCGACGAATCCCGGTTTACCGGGATTCACGCTTCAGACAGCTGACGATGAGTCCCGGTTTACCAGGATCGGAATACCTCTTTTACATTTCCCACTTAAAACATTGAAAACACAAGTTATCTTTCTTTGTTGAATACCCAGATGAAAGTGTAAACATAGCGCTTCCGTTTGTTGAAAACCGTGTCAAAATCAGATGAAATTTACGGATTTTGCTAGAATTTGAAATAAGGAAACATTTTTTTTGAAAGAATATGGAAGAATTGAAGCCAGACTACTATACTTTTTTGACATAAAATGTCGTTTTATGTACAAAAACACTTGGAATGGACATCGATCAGTGTAAGGAATTTGTACGTTTTGGGTTAAAAAATTACGATTTTGGGTCAAAAAGTCGAATTTTGAAATTTCATCTCTCTAATGCCGAAAATTTGTAAATTTTGATTTTTTATGAAGAAAAAATGATCAAAACATTAACAAAACTGTGTCCATGGTGTAAGTGAATAATTTAAAGACATAAATAACTACAGACAAGTTTTTATTGATATTTAATATGAAGATCTCCCACTTGTGTCATAATAGCCAGGGAAGCCATCGTCTCAGAGTAGCTACTGTCAGGCCGGCTATCGGTGAAAGGGTTAAACACCAATATGTGACTGGCTTATCAAATATGTAATATTATGTAAGATATTGTTAATCACCAAACTGTCCTGCTGAATTTACCTTCAATGGAAGTAGGCTTGACATTATATAAGATATTGTTAATCACCAAACTGTCCTGTTAAACTTACCTTCAGTGGAAGTAGGCTTGACATTATATAAGACATTGTTAATCACCAAACTGCATGAACTGTCCTGTTAAACTTACCTTCAATGGAAGTAGGCTTGACATTATATAAGATATTGTTAATCACCAAACTGTCCTGTTAAACTTACCTTCAATGGAAGTAGGCTTGACATTATATAAGATATTGTTGATCTCAAACCAAAATGTCTAATGTAACTTCTGTTGGACAGTGGAGATCTTAAATATATACGAAATGAACTTATTAAATCTGTCTGATATACATTGATATAGTTTCAAGGTGGTCAGTTTTATTGATGGAGAAAACAGGAATGAAAATGGTAAATCATTGACACACATAGAGTAAGTTACAAATAGTTTATAAATATGTACATCTCAAGTAGGACTCCTTTCTTCAAATGACCAGAGATATTCTCAAATCCCTACTCTTGATATTGAAGGTTGAAGCAATCTTCTCATACAGATGATATCACTATCAATCAAGCACAAACAAAGGCCAATGACAAATACCTGACTGTACATATAATCAGTCTTTGACACATTTAATTAAAATTGAATTTTCAAAGTGCAAGCAATGTATCAAACAAAAATGAAGGACCACTTTTAGTCATGGTTAAATGAATTCAAAAATTATTGTTGAAAATCAGAAATGCCTGTGTGATAAATTTTACAGTCCAAACTTCATATACATAATCATATTGAATGTTATACAATTGACTGTCCCTCTGGTATCTTTCGTCCCTCTTTTATACAAAAAAGTTCTTACTTCATGATTGGGATTCCTAATACAACACATTTATCATTGACATGGCAACTGATCTGTAAATAAAAAGTAGATTCAATCGAATACTGTTAATTCAGAAAGTTTGCTTAAATTAAAAATTGCAATTGAACAATGGACAAAAATATGAAATTAATTATTGAGATTTCAGGAAATTTTGCATTCACTTTTTCAAAATTTAAAATGAGAGTTTTAAATTCTTGTGAAACCTTCCTGTTGCAATTTTTGCAATGATAAAATCAGCATTCTTATATGACATTCTTCTTTCGCTTTGGAAACAAAGCCATGTTCTAATTGCGATAGAACATGGGTTGCACATGATTGATGTCACAACTGTAATTGCAACGTTAGTTGCATTTTGAACAACGCCGGAGATCAAAATGGACATTTGTGTTGGTGTTGCTCGCTAGGAAATTAAATAAAATCTTTCTAAAAGTAAGTTTACATGCATCTGTTCATTTTTTATCCAGAAACGGTTGATTTTCTATATTGTTTTGGCTTCATCAATTCAAAATGACTGCCTTTTAGACGTGTATTATAGGACCTCTTCGAAGTACCGGTACAAATGTTCTAATTTTTCCTATTAGAGACGAAATAATTCTGTCATGCCATGCTCTATGCTCATTTTAATATGGGTAGGCATTATATTTTTATACTAACACTAACACTCTCTATAAAGATATTGAAAAATATAATGCCTTTTCATGTTAATATGAGCATAGAGCATGGCATGAAAGACTTATTTCTTAATCGTGTAATGGAGAATCTGAAAACTGAACCATGAACATAAAACTTAATTTATGTGATTGAAGTATGAAATTCAGGTCAGAGTGACATGCTTTATAGGTTGCTCACCTATTTGCAAAATGGTACTACATTTACCTATGGGAGATGAGAATTGAAATAAGTTGTGGTTGTAGTGTCCTTATTTTCGTTAAAAGCTGGTTATCTCACCAAGTCAATAATAATTACCTCTATATCAGGGGAGCGCAGGTTAACTTTCCAATTCAGCAAATTCTTCAGTTTAGATCCAATGCTTATCTGAAGATCCTTCAAAAATGTAAAATAAACTACATGTTAATGTGTTGGGACAAAAGAAATGCCCTCACCAGAATATAAGGCAAACTTGGCTCTCACCAGAATAAAAGGCAAACTTGATCAGTAACTTAACCTATATACATTTACAAAAACAAAAAAATTGCCATGAAATTTCCTGACTTCAATCATTTAATCATTACATAAGTAAAGGGAAGTAATTTGATCATAGGTGTACTGGCACTGTTTAAAAACCTAAACTCAATTTGTTATTTATCATTTTGAAGGTACGTTTTATAACACAGGCATTACTGCATGTATGATTTTAAAAAAACTTTTTTGTTTGTCAAAGTCAGACTTAAATGAAAGTCTAAAACATTTAATTCCATCTAAAGTTGATCAACCAGAATATAAACTGTAAGCTCCACTGAAATCTTATCATAACATAATTATTAATCTAGATCAAATTCTTTTCAATTTATTCTGCACTGTTTTTCCAAAGAATGGATAGAATATAAACAATGGTATTACAATATGCTACCGCCTTGTAATATTTTTAGCAATAAAAAATTAAGTTCTAAATATCCTTTGAATGCAGAAGCTTTAAGAGAATAAATAAAGTGTTCAAATGTATAACTATCACACAAGTTCTCAAGATAGTCTTGTCCTCAATTTTATACAATGTCACAATCTGTTTCTACCGATAAATATTATTTTAGAACTAAGCAGAATATTTAATATTAGGGCTGACTTACAAAAACATACATGGGACTTTGAAATCTCAACTATGGCCATGATGGGTGGGCATTTTTGTACAGTAATAATGTAAGAGAAATTCTAAAATTGCCTTTTTAGATACATGTAATTAGCCCATTTTCAAAAAGCCTCTCCTAGATAGGTTTTAGTATGACAGCCCTTAATTTTATCCTCCATTTCTAACGTGATGTCTAATTATTTAAACCGTTATATTCCTATTTATCATATGGTACTATTACAAATGATTCCCCACAATTAATACACATTTCTAGGACTGAATAGAAAATTTTGTTGAACAGCTGTGTCAGCAGTCTTGTTCATGTATAACCAGTACCTTCTTTTATTCATATAGTAAAATACAAAGTCAGATTTTCTATTCTAGAAAAGATCTTACAAGATTATAACATGTTCAAAGTATCAAAAATGCTTTATGGCTACAGTGCATATAGTTGTGAAAGAATAGTGTTGACATTTTTGTCTTTTTATGCTTTTTATCATTGAAATGTATTACCTTTGAATACACATACTTTGAAAACCGAGCATGAGTAGCTTACATTGTCTTTTTTTAAGAGCAATGTTTTGATATAGGGTTTCCATTTGTTATCATAACAAAATAGTTAACCGTCAACTGTTCATTTACTTTATAAACAGGATTTCAGGTTGTTGCTATCAACAGAAGCTGTTGCTAGGGGAAAATAATGTATAAAATAATTTTCCATAATATATTCCAATATACGAGTCCTGTTGTTTAACCTGTAAAAACATTATTTTTTCAATCATATTCACAATTTTCTTTGGTTGCTATGGAAATAATTCTGTTGCTGTGATAAAAAAATTCTTTTTCATTAACTTTGTCTTTTTGGACAATTTTATAAAGAAAATGATGATTATTCATAGACATTCGATTATCTCATTGTTTCCTTAGAATTAAATTGATATTACAAGATTCAACCCAAAATTTAACCATTTTCATTATATTTGGATAATTCCGTTACCATGGCAACAATATTAAAAACTTTTTTGTGTGTGTAAATTTAAAGATCTGACTCAGATGTATAACTGACAAAAATTTCAAATGTTTAACTGGTCTATTTAAGGTACAGTTAATATTTCATTAAAGTAAGCATATTTTCAGCATTTTATTAAAAAATCCTATGCAAATCAAGCATGTAGAAAAAAAATTTCCATGGAGAAAAGGGTTAAAGACAAGTTGTTATACTATATGATATAAAGCGTATCAGTTTTATATGATGAAGTGTTTTACTGTGTGTATTGTTGTGTTTCTTTATTGTACATTGGCTAGAGGTATAGGGGGAGGGTTGAGATCTCACAAAACATGTTTAACCCCATCACATTTTTGCACCTGTCCCAAGTCAGGAGCCTCTGGCCTTTGTATGTCTTGTATGTTTTTTTGATTTTGGTTTATTTGTATGTTTTGGAGTTTAGTGTGACGTCCATTTTCACTGAACTAGTACATAATTTTATTTAGGGGCCACGTGAGGACCACCTCCGGGTGAGGGATTTTCTCGCTGCGTTGAAGACCCATTGGTGGCCTTCGGCTGTTGTCTGCTCTTTGGTTGGGTTGTTGTCTCTTTGACATATTCCCCATTTCCATTCTCAATTTTATTTTATTTATCAATAAAATGCATTACCTGAGCATACACATATTTGGCAACTGAACCTGTGCAGCGACAAGTCACTCTAAAAGTAAAGCCTAACTTTCCTTTTTTCTTTGCTGGTCTTTCTGGACTTTCACTGATAGAACTACATCTTCTCTTAACTGGTTTGGTAGATCCAAGAGGTAGTTCTGACTTTGATAAACCATCTTGTGATTTTTCTGATTCACTTTTTGGGGTTTCTGTCAGTACATCTTGTTTTTCAGTAACAGATATGCTCAATCTATCAGTTTCTTTTGTTTCAGTGTCATGCTTATCACATTCAATGTTTTTGATTTTATCCAAAATGTTTTGCTTTTCTGTAATAGGTAAACCTGCCTTGTTTGTTCCCATAGAATCAGCTTGTTGCAAGTCAGATTTATCATGCTGAATATCCATAGGTTCATTTTGCTTTTCTGTGGTGGATGAGCCGGCTTTGTCTCGTTCTGATGTGTTTGTTGTTATTGTTTTGTTGCTTTCTAAATTCTGTAAACAATCCACTGATGATTTCTCGAAGACCCTAGAACATGCAGAAGTAGATTGATGTTTTGACTCTGGAGAACTTCCATCTATCATGGCTATGTTCTGTACTTGTAATACCTCATGAGGGATCTGATGGATGACAGGATCTTTCCATATCTCATCATTCATAATTGCACGTCTCACATGTACATATGAAATCCTATCATGTTGCTTTCCTGCAAAATGTGTGAATTATTGTAATCACAGGGATAATAATACAAGAATGGATCAAAGTAAAATTATGGCAATCTAGGAATTTAAATTTCATTTAAGATCGCAGTCAATAAATGAATCCAAATCATCACTCTGTGGTTCCATTCCTAATGTAAAAATATTCTTTTTTTTCAAATTCAAATTCACCATGTAATTTTACTAATTAAATTTCCCATTCGGTTTAATTTTTGAAATGAATAGATTTCACCTGAAAGTTATAAAAATATAAGATAAAGTAACTTGATGATAGTGAAATTTATCAGTTCACAAAATCTAGTTACATAATAACATACTGTAAAGTGTAAAGAATATTCAATATAAGGGAGACAAAAACTAATTTTCCCGAAGTTTTTGCAGTTCAAGATTAAAAGTTAACTGGCCTCACAAATAATCTCAACCTACTGGTACCTGGTTTAAACTTAAAATATCAGCTCAACATTTTAGACATAGCCATTACTAAATCATATTTTTCTGTTTTACCCAGTTTGTTTTATCTATATTAAGACTGCCCATGTCAATTGACCTAAGGTTTAATAGTCCATTTTCATAATACAGACTTTTGACTTTGGATTATATAATTTTTCAACAGGTTACCTACTCTGTGGAAGGACATCCTGGTACTCTTGTCAAGTAAGAGCAACCAAAAGAAGTAAAATCAAATATATAATCGTTGCAATTTGGGAGGAAAGTTTACTGTTATCCAAAGATTTTGTTGTATATAGAAAACATAAAACAGTTAATTTCCCCCCAAATTGTACTGATTGAAAGCTTAATTTTACTTCTTTACGTTGCTCTTACTTGACTGAGTACCAGGATGTCCTACCACAGAGTAGACAACCTGTCGAAAAAATATAAATTCAAGAGTCAAAAGTCTGTAATATGAAGATAGTCTATTAGACATAATTCTAAAACGAGACATCTGAAGAATCATTGTGCACAAGTTTGGTTCCAATAAGCCTGGGGGTGTAAAGAATTGTCATAATGAAAGGACTAATGTTCAGTAATGGTAAATTCTATTAAAATCAAATTGGTTAATACCAGTAGTATACTCAACAGACTGCAGGAGAGCCAGGAATTATTTTCAATGGCAGCACAGTTTTCCTCAGGCCAAAAGAAATTAATTGTGTGTTTCTGGTTTCCCGACCTTACCTCTGTTTCTGACGCCGACCCTAAACATTTTATTGACGATATTGAAAAAATTTTAAGATACATATTTTTCAGTCTTTCCAGATCCTATTATTCGTTTAGAATATTGATCCACAAAGCATTTGATAATTGTGACTAATACGCATAAGTAAAGAATATCAAAGACAAAGATTTTGAATAAACAAGCATGGCTTTTCGTCGACAATCATGCAGCGTAATAGCTGTCAAATATGCAAAATGTGATCACATGGATGCAAAAAATATAATGACATCGATCTGAATAATTACGATATAACAAACCTTTATGACGAACATCAAGATGGACCTATAGATGAAAAAAATACGAGAGCTCGAAGTTATGTTTTACTGTAATTTGTATGCTGCATTTTAACCCACTTTAAATAATTTTTTATTTCTAATTAGATTTTAATGTACATCATGTACACAGAAGTTATTTTGCAAGGATTTAACTGTATATAATGTTTTTTCTGGCATATTAATTTAAGGTTTAACCAACTTTTACATAGTAAGGTTGGTGTACTCCAACTAATGGAGGAAGTTATAGAGGAAAGAAGAAGAAGAATTTGACAAATTTTGGACCAAAAGTCAGAATCGTTCCAAGTTAGATAGACTGTATCTGTGGCTGATTTGATAAACAATTTTATAGTAAAATGTATTCAATTTACTGCCAATCTCAATTGTGCTTTTGTTGTAAAAATCGCTCTTGCGAATGTTATACAGAATTTTGATAAGGACGCAACAAAAACAGCTGTCAATGCTTTTGAGCTGTTGAGTGAATGATGGCCATAGGACAGACAATGTGTGACGAGAAAGAGAAAAACTAGACATCATTGAGATGGGAGCCATCTCTGTGGCCCCGCTGACCTTGAACTTTGACCTAGGAAGTTGTACAAACATTATGACACACCCTCTGGTGTTGGTTAATATACATGTCAATAATAAAAGCTCAAACCATATATTACAGCAAGGTCAAGGTAGTCCCTAGCATAAACTTAAAATGATATTTAATTTCCATCAATAAATGCTATATATATTTATGGAACTAACTTGTGGGCATAGTAATTTGCATATAAAACTGGTGAAAATTAACAACAAATTGTTTTTTTATTCAAGTTCTAACCAAACCATATGCCAAAAATATACATACTTTTGTTTATTTCTCGTATATTCTTCCAATCCAGTTGTAAGAGATGTACAAAGATTCTTTCTACAGATCTCAGTTTAACAATATGATGAATCTGTGAAATATTTGCATCAAAATAAACTTTACCATCAGAGACAACAATCTGGAATAAAAAAAAAATCACAATCATCAAAAAATTCTCATATCATTTACAGTCCAAACTAAAATAACATCAGTTTGAATAAACCTATAGTTGTTAATTTCTGTCATTTGGTCTCTTGTGGAGAGTTGTCTTATTTGCAATCATACCACATCTTCTTATTTTTATATGTAATATTCAGTAAAATATATGCAAATTACAAAATGTTAGCAAGTTTTTATGGGAGATACTCTAAAAGCATTGATCTTTTTAAATTTTGATCTTATCAATATCTACCTTTAAAAAATTCAAGAGAACGTATTTAAGCTGAAAGTATATTTCACCAACTATTAGGTATATTCAATTAAAGAAAACTTTGTAGCATGCATTAAAAAACAAAATTTTAGAAGAAATAATTCAAAAATTTAAATTTGGACATATTTTTTAGCCATTCAAAAAATACTACCTCTCTCCTTTCAAAACTCCTTACAAGAACAATGTTTAAAACAAATTGCAATTGGGTCTGAATTTTTAATGAACTGCAATAGGTGGAGAGAAACACTTACAATCAAGGCACAGTAATACTAAGTTACAGCATCATTCTGAATTGACCATTTTTTGTTTGAATCTGCCTAAATTTGTTCCAGACAAGTACAATTTTCAACAAATGTACACAGTTCAATGGCCATAAGAAATAAAGTTCCATAGAATATAAGATAAATTTTTTTTTAAATCTTGTGTACTATTTACAAATCTGCAATTATTATACAGATCTATTACAAGTGTTTGATTTCAACATGACAAATGTGAAGGAATAAAGAACAGAATGGTTGGCATGGGCAACATAGCTACTTAGCAGCAGATGAATATAAGTAAAGAAATGAAAATGTATGAAGTTGTTATTTATTTATTCTTTATTTGCCTCATTTATATTCCTTCAATCAAGTAATTATTTCCCTCACAATTGTTCTGTTGTAGTACTTTTAAATGTTTGTTGTTGTAATTTCATGTTGCCCCTTGTTGTCCCATTAATATGGAATAAAGTATACTTTATTCTATTCTATTCTTATCATTACTTTAATTATTTTGTTGTTGTCTTATTTCACTTTGATGTACATGTACATAAATAATAATACCTTGCAATGATAAGGTTAAATAGTGAAAGAACATAATTTGTCGTCTGCTACTGATGTATACAAAACCAATTTATGGAACTGCACTATTCGTCTCTGCTGTCAAGTATACATGCACATTCACTATTAAAATCAAATTGACAACGTTATACATGTAGTATACTCTCTTAGTAGATACACAGGGATTTGTTACAATTTGCCTGGTTTACTATCCATACAAACCCCGAAAAAACGTGTTTTTTTCAGGGTTCGTATGGATAGTAAACCCGGCAAATTGTAACAAACCCCTGTGGTAGATACATGCAGGCACCATGACATTCTAATTTCTATGTCTGTATGTTTACTGACTACTGTTAAGTGTTTTAAATGCGATTTCTAAATAAAAAAAAGGCATGTGGATTATTCTTATGTATTTGTTTGTGTACAGCTAATTTAAATCTCTTAAAAGGATACATTTTGTGCTTTCAGTTTTTCCTCTAATTCTGTTTTTATGAACTTTTCTGTTCCTCTTCCTCCAGTGCAATAAAATCTTATCATGTTGATGGCGGGAAGACATTAAAAACATATGACGTTTTCTTTAAATTATATGAATACGCTCCATAGAGCTCCGAATGTACAAGGAAGAAAATTGCTTGGAAAAAAAGTCGGAAACAATCTTCCGGAAGTTGCGCATATCATCTGCTCTGAAATTGCGCGCGAAATGGAAAAAGTGTAAACAACGAAAACTTGGAAAACAGTCTAGTTATTCAAATGGAACAAAGCATTCACACGGTAGTATAATTAAAAAGGAATAAACAAAATAATCCATGGTAGCTCTATTTGTTGATATCAATATCCCTCTGTTTACGTCTGATTTCAACTTGGATGTCGCTAATTTTACAAAAAATTATTGTTTCCAGCAGTACTGAACAAGCAGCTCTGCCTAAGAATTAATCCAGAGTCGGATTTAGGAGGGGGGGGGAGGTCATGATGCCCATCCCCCTTATGGAGCTACATAGACTGTTTACATGTCCCACTTCAAATGTTGCATAGTTGAACTTTGAGGGCCTTGCCCCTGCCCTCTTTTTCAAATTCCTTGATCCGCATCTGATATCTACATTAAACCTTGTTTTTAGCCACAATACTGTTGCAATATTGGTACAAAATTTTATTCCAGTAGTGTACTCAATGTCAATGGTATACCAGTATGATGTGATTTCCCAATACAGGAGGGGTCATGAAATAGTTCCTTTATATAAGTTCCAAATTGAAGAAATATTCTATGATAATATTTCCACTGGAACAATTATTACAGTAACTTGTTCCTTACGGAATAAAGTGTATAGAATATTTATCCAACAGGAACAGATATACTCATATGGCATTGTTTATATCAAATTTTCCAGGGGAACTTCTGTTAGGCGGAACAAATATACATTCACAATCACAGAGGACCAAATACTGTAATGTGGGCCTGGCATGACATGGACTTTTCATATCTGCACACTATTGTTGACATCTGTAGCAGCTTATCCTTCGAAACCACTAATTAAAATTAAATAAGTTCCACAAAATCTCCACCATACAAATTATTCCTTTTAGATCTGAATTATTTTAAAGGTTTTCCTTAGCAAATCATTGATCTAGAAGTGGTACTAATTTTGTATCCGCAACTCCTCCTTAAGGTTCATGTGGACCCTTTGGCTCAAATGAATGCATTTTCACATCAAAAGTACAGACAAAACTATGTATCTGGAAAAATTTTAAGGCATAGCATGCTCTACTTAAATAAAATTCAAATACATTTAGATAGAAAATTAAAAACTTAACTGGATTATGAATTTTCTTTCATTCCTCCAGAAGGTGCCAAAATAAACAAAGTTGGGAACGAGGTTTGAGAACTTCCCCGGCCCACAGGTAATTATTGAAGTGAACTGTATTGATTGACATGGACAATAGATAAATGTACCTGACAATAATTGGTGATTTAAACTGTGTACCTGAGTGGACCCTATCAAGTGAAACTCAACTGTTGGTTTATTTTATCATCTTCTGCAGGGACGAAAAAAAGTGCCCAGTAAAATCCATTTTCTAAAACATAAAATGCATTTGAATTTGATTTATCTAGGGCATGCTATGCCTTAAAAAAATTTCAGATGCACAGGTTAGTCTGTACTCAGAGTAAATTTTGAGGCGAAAACACAACCATTTTAGCCAAAGGGTCCACATGAACCTTAACAGCTCATTTGAATTACCTGAAATTTTCTCAGAACTTGGTCCATATAATTACATTGTCTACCTTCCAATGTTGAATCAATAGATGTAATACATGTAGGTATAGTTGTTCAAATGATGATAAAATAGGTCACTGCTATACAAAATCATGAATATCCCATTTCCAAAGTAAGATGAATCTATAAGGCATTGATTACCTAAAAATACATGTACATACATTATATGTTTCATAATTGTAGGAATCGGGTAACATTCATTCAGATGAATTGAAACTGGAAGACAAAAGTGATAAAGCAGATTCAGGAATGGACGAGGATAGTCAGCCATTTAATGAACAAGGTTAGAACAACATGGTATCTTTACTTGAGTGTGTACAAATGAAGTTAGTGACATATAGTTGCATACATCTATGTCATTTGGTCATGGATGGATTATTGTTTCATTAGCAATCATGATTGCTAATAAGACAACTATCCACAAGAGACCAAAGAACAAGGATGTAAACAAAAGGACACTGCACTGCCATAAACAATGAAATACACTCATACTGTATTATTAGCTATAAAAGGCACAACCATGACAAAATTTGCTTGTTTGCTACATGTAAGTTGACCATGAAATCAATTTTAATTTTGTTTACTACCTATTGAAAAAGTAACAAGTTATTTCTTGTCAATCAAATCATGGGACAGGTAACCAAAAATTACTGAAAAAACTCGCAAATAAATTTAAAATTGAGCCAATAGTTGTTAATTACTTATAGAAATATGTAAAATTGAGCCAATAGTTGTTACATGTAATTACTTATAGAAATATGTAAAAACCAAGTTTTATTATGGTAAAATCTTACATACATGTACATGTACCTTGAAAGTAGGAAGTTATTGTATTATGTAGACAACTAATGTACATTAATTTATTATTTTATGTTTTTTACTACAATTTTTTTTAACTCTAACTAAATCTTTGATATGATTTTGTCATCTGCTTTTATGAATAATTTTTGTGTGTGTTTAAAGGTAATGATGATGACGATGAAGAGGAAATTGTCACAAGGAAACCAAGAACAAAGGTATCATCTGTTACATTATAAATATTTCATATTAAATAAAAAATTGTGAAAAATTTATAAATCAGACTTATTTTAGAAAAGAACACCCTTTTAGCCTTAAACTTTCAATCTTAACATTCAGTATATTTTCCAGTTTTTTAACTGTCTAGGCCACTAGCCCAGATGGCATTGCATGTTATTAAAATCGTCACTATCATGTATAATTTGAAAACCTGATTAGTAAACTTTAAAATATTGCACTTAATGATGCTACTAATAAATTAACATGGAAGTGATCCAAATACTTGTTCTATTAGAAAAATGTCCAGATTGAAGGGAGATTTTCATATTAGTTGAAGAATCTATTGAAGTTAGATGTATACTTTTTCAAGCTCCCTCAAGACTGTTACAAGTCAATATTATGTGTTGATTCCAGATTTGTAGTACAGGTTTCTTTGTGTCTTTAATTTTAGTGTAAACAAAATATTTGTTCATCAGATAATTTATATACTTTTAATCAGCATTAAATGCTAAAAAAAACACAAGAAGATACATTAATTATGACTACTTATCATTTTGTAAGCAAATTTATTATTTTTATTACTAGAAAGCTATATTTGATGATGAAGATGATGAAGACAGTAAAGAGTCCAACAAAGGTTAGTTTCAAATAGAAGAGGTTACCAAAGACAGATTTAAAGTGTGATGCAAGTAAAAATTGGAAATGTATTTTATTTTTGTTTTGATATAGTTTTTGCAGTGTTTTAGAGGTTCTTTTTTGTAACAAAATATTAACAGAGCCCAAATTTTATAACTGATTTTGAATACAGCTGATTTATTTTACAGAAGTCAAAGTCTTAAGGAAATATTGATAAACCAGTGCATAGAGATTTCTTTCAAAACAGTTTTTGTTACGATGAAAATATAAATTGAGTAATAAAAAAATGGTTATGTAAAAAGGAAACAAAGATACATGTATCTGCAGATTTGTGAAACACTCATCGTAACTATTTTGAGAACACAGTTCTTTATACTTCTAAAAGGTTGGTGGCTTGATCAGATTGATCTATTAGATTTTTAAAACATGGATATCTTTTTCAGAGGAGAGAGGCGAAAATGCAGAATTGGTACCAGCTTCTACTTTAAAGGTAGGTGAACAGCAATTGTTCATCATAAATTTTTGGTAGTCAATAATACTGTTACTCACAGATTGTACCGATATGAGAAATTGCATATTTGTTGACTTTTATTTTAGTGAAATTATATTAATATATTCCAAGAAGTAGGTTTTAATAAAGCCCAAATATGGCCATTATATTTAGCTAGAATCAACAATTGATCAAGTTGTTTGTGATTGTCACAATGGTGAGAAATATCTCTCTGAATAATTTATTTTCTATCATGTTCAATGGATTTGCTAGCAAAGGGATTGAGATGCAGACTATTGTACATAAATTAGGCCGTTAGTTTACTCGTTTGAATTGTTTTACATTTGTCATATCGAGACCTTTTATAGCTGACTGTGTGGTATGGGTTTTGCTCATTGTTGAAGGCTGTACTGTGACCTTTAGTTTCTGTGTCATTTGGTCTCTTGTGGAGAGTTGTCTCATTGGCAATCATACATCATCTTATTTTTATATTAAAATTTTCTCTGTTTAGTTGGAGTAAGAGCATTGATTAGTGGGCTCATAGTTGGAATAATGTGACTGTTACCTTGTTAGCTAGTAAAATTGTGGTAAACAGTTGGGTATATTCCAATGATATTAAGATGTCATCATCCCACAAAATGTCTTAAATATTTGCAATTCAGTTCATATTTTTAGATTAGAATAAAAGTAATTGTTGTTTTCATTTATGGCTGGTGATTATTTCAGTGAAGTATATAATTATTCCCCAAGAACTTTTTTTTAATGATAAACCTGTGTATCCCCAAAAAAATTTAAACTCAAGTAACATTTTAAAGATAGGGGAAATTTTCAAACCGTATCTCATTGCTAAAATTTGTTTACCATTTTATTGTCTCGCAGTATGCAAGATATAGGGATTACTATCCAGCGACGTAAACTATTTGTCTAAAGCTTTATATTTCAGAAAGTAGAAGACCTGGATGCATCATACCTTGTATGCAGAAACCTTTAGTTATAAAGTTTCCGTCTGTCATATGTCCATGGTCCTTAACCTCATTTACATGGTTCAGCTACTGCTTGAAAAAAAATTACAGTTTTTTTGTTATGTGAATTTCTCACTTATTAAAAGCATGATAAGTATTATATATATATTATATTATAACTATTTGGTATATGGGATCCTTGCGACATCTACATGTCTGTCAGACAGGGTTCACCTGACCTCAACCTCATTTCATTGATCAGTGATCAAGGTTAAAGTTACATGATTAGGTTCATTTCTCAGATACTATATGCAGTAGATCAACTTTATGTGGTATACCGTATATGGAATGATTGTGAGGGCTACAGGTCAGTCTGGCAGGTATCATCTGACCTTGACCTCATTTTCATGGTTCATTGGTCAATGTAAAGTTTTTATGTTTTGGTCTGTTTTTCAAGTACTTTAAGCAATAGGTTAACTATATTTGGTGTATGGAATGATTGTAATGTGTACATGTCAGTATAGCAGGTTTCATCTGATCTTGACCTCATTTCATGGTTCATTTGTCAATATCAAGTTTTTGTGTTTTTGTCCTTTTTATCAAGTATTATAAGCAATAGGTCAACTCTATTTAATGTATGGAATGATTGTAAGGTGTGCATGTCTGTCTGGCTGGTATCATCTGACCTTGACCTCATTTTCATGGTTTATTGGTCAATGTTAAGTTTTGGTGTTTTGGTCTGTTTTTCAATTACCATAAGCAATAGGTCAACTATATTTGGTGTATGGAATAATTGTAAGGTGGAAATGTCTGTCTGACATGATTTATCTGACCTTGACCTCATTGTCATGGATCTTTAAATATGTTAAGTTTATGTGATACTTGTAGTAAAACCTTTATCTTTAAGACTTTCAACATAAAATTAATAGCCAGTAAAGCAGGTGAGACATTTCAGCATGTGTACTCTTGTTCAAGGTTTAATACTTAAACCTTAGAATTCATTGCTGATAAGATCAAGGTTTTGACGCACTGGTTAAACTTTTACAGTAGCCAGTAGGACTTGAATTGTAGAAACAAAAATCCTTTTCTTTTTCAGACAGCAGATGAAGTCCTTGATGCTGTTATGAATGATGAATCAGGATCAGAACATAACGATGGTATGACATAATTTATCATGTGATAGAAAAATAAAACAAAAAAGTCACACAAACTGTACATGCAAGCTTTATGAAAAAAGGTATATCTACATTAAAGAGAACTGTACAAATTCTACTGGCAGATGTAGAATTTAATGTAGAATCTGAGTGCTGGTGATTAAAAGGGAATCCCACACAATCACCTACATTCACTGTGAAATATCACCGTCAGTAGTGATCAATAACAAAATCACCTTGTGTACTATATATTGTTTTTAGCTGTGTATTTACCTTGCTTTATTCTGTTTTTACTGTCAGTGGTTTGGTCATGTGAAATATTTCGGACTGCTACATTTCAAACCTTGTGTTCCTTAATCTTGTGTCAGGCATGTTAAATTTTGTTGCAGAAAGGATTTCGAATTATAATTTTTTCATGTTTAACAGATTCCAGTAGTGATGAAGATGATCATGAACCCTTGTCGTCAACCATAAAGAAAAGGAAAAAGGTAGGAAAGAAGAAGCTACACTTACACAATATAGAATTACCGCTTAACTTTTTTATACAATTGAAAAATGTTATCTTTGTGTCACCTGCAAGTAACTAATTTTAATCTTTTTTTTTTTTAGTTAAGAATCATGACCTTGTCATTCCTCTTGTCAATGAATCAACAGAGTAATTTTTGAGTTGATCAATTCAGTCCTTTCAAAATCCAAAATTTATCTTTTTTTTCATTGCGTCTTTGGATTTTGAGCTGATATTTGGATAATAAGTGTGTAGTGGTGTGTTACAGCAAAAGTATTGTTTTTTGTTTCAATGAATTACGTCTTGGGAATTTGGTGTCATCTGACACATTTAGTTTTTTTCAATGATATTAGATATATAAAGATAGACAGTTACATAGTTTATTGCCTATTGTTTTTTATTTAGGAAGGCCCATTTTGTTAAACAGAGTTCTTATGTATATATAAACTGTTTGAAAAAAGACAAAATGACCTGGAAAAATTAGGATTTATATAATTATTGCAAATTTTATCAATAACTTGTTGAGATTGTTATATAGTATGAAACTAAATACAAGTTTTATTTATGTTACAGATTGTAAAAACAAGTATAGATTCAGACAGTGAAGAAGATGCAGGTACTTTAGTTTCTATTTCATAAAGAGGGTGGTAAAGGGTTATTTTCGTGCAACGTAATCGCCGTTTTTTATTTCACGTTCAACGTGTTTTTACTTTTTTATTTAACGTTCAGTCGTGCAAGACAGGTGCCTCGTTCAACGTGTTCTGCTTATTTAATTTTATGTGCATCGTGATTCTCAAATGCTTATTTTGCGTGCTCGGTTTTTTTCAAATAAAATTCAAATACTTGGCAGGGATCGTCAAGAAATACTTTTTTAAAAGCCGTCAACCATTTACATCATAAATGTGTATACTAAATCGGGAATAACAAGTAAAACGGAGGGTTTATATATACAAGAAGACAGTGACTCAGTCACAAAAGGTTTACAACAGTCTTTATTTTTCGTGCAACGTTCATGACAGAAATTATTTCACGTTCAACGTGAAATTATGTCTTATTTCACGTTTTTTCCGTGCAAGCACCCCACCTTTACCACCCTCCATAAAGATATTCCTTAAAATTTATATAGTATTATTCCAGATAAGTGTGTATATGTGTGGAAAGAGTATTAAATTATTTTTTCATATAAAAATTTGAAATCATTTTCCAACAATGACTGACAGAATTTTAGAAATATCATCACTGAATGTGATGTCATTTTACTGCCATATCCAATAGGTCTAATTAATTTTAAACCGATAAACAAAGAATAAACAGACTACATTGATATTTAAAATCAAAATACATCATAAAAATCACATAATCAATTATGACTTTTCCATATGATTAGCTGATCTGAGTGTCTTTCTATCCCAACACTGATTCTGTTAGCCTAGGCTAGCAGTCAAAGCTATGTAAAAAAATAAGTACTTTCAAAGCACTAACATTTCTAATTTTATTAATAAAAATTGAAATACTAAAACTCAATTTATGATATGTATAATTACAGATAAAAAAGAAACTGGTAACAGTCCTGCAGTTATAAAGGTAAGAAAGCTCATACAAAAATAATTCATGAAAAGAACATTGAAGACTTGTTATCACTGTGGCTTGAGATAAAAAAACAACAATCATTTTTGTTTTATCAAGAAAAACAATGTGAGATATACCATATATCTGGATATTTAGGTGTGTGTCTTATTTTCGCTATTTTTGCTGTAGACATTTTACCATGCAATTGGTCCTGCACAAACATTTCACTGTTTATTAGTAAATGCATTGTACAAGCCCATGAACGTAGAGATTTGCACAACAGGCTCCAATGAAACATGATAGAACACATTTTTTGTAATTTGGATATATTTAATGGTCTTGCATTGTAACCCATCATTCATAAACATCTGTACAGAAGTTAAATCCACACTAGTTTGATTTATGATCATAGTGATTCTCTCTTGCTCTTACACAAAAACTTTTTGACTTGCAATCACAAAATCAGTTTCCACGTAAAATTTCTTCAAATGTATATGGATTTGAGGACTCATCAGTAAAAACTTATATAGACAGATGTAACTAAAAATGTTATTAACCTCTACCAAAGACTATTATTTTATGATATACAAGTACTGATGGAAGAAGTAAGTACCTTTAACTTGAAAAGTTATTTTATTTTGAAATTTTGAAATGATTATGTTATTATATGAATTTAATTGTAGACAAAGTCTATATTTGGTAATAGTGATCTGTTTGATGCAGAGGAAGATAGCAACAGTGCAGCAAGGAACAGTGGTGAGATAGTTAACATGAAATGGTATAGGGTATTCTAAGTCCTTTGTATAAAGTACAAATATATATTATAAACTTTTATGATACACAGTTTGTTAAGTTTTGATAAGTGCCGTTGTATGAAAATAGTTGATTGTGTGTCAAATTTTTATACAAGATGAATTGAAGCTATGAACTTTGCCCATGATATGTATTTAATGAGATGAGGAAGGCTATCTTTAGTGGACAGTTGTCTCATTGGCATTTATACTTTCGTCCTGGAGGAAAATGACAGCTTAAGTAATATTGATAGACGGATGCCAAGTGATGACTTGAGACCTACATGACATGTAAGCACATAGGAGACGACGAATGCCAAGTGACACCCCTAACACATTGTATGTGATCCTGGATACTACTGTGCTTTATGATTACCTCAAGACCTCTAACTTTAATTTGGAGATCCTCTTATATAATAGTTTCTTCAAGTGTTGCTCTTTAACCCTGGAACAGCTGGTGCCAAATTATACTCAACATAAACATGTACATGTATATACAACATGGGACCAAACGCTACAGTCTCTCAACTTGTCTTTAAGATGAAGAACCACAATTCCGTTCCTACTCGCTTATTAGTCGGAAAATTGGGAGTAAAATTCATAATCCAGAGAGGGGGACCGACTAATAGACGAGATCTAGCGACCAGAGGAAAAATCCAAGCTTGAGAAAAGTGGTCAGGAGTGAATTTCCTGTTCAAAACTACGTTTTTGATTGCCAAACTTACATAAATCAATAAATAAAAAGTTTTTGTTGAAAATAAATGACTACAATACTGTCTTTGTGTTTTATTTGTTCTTTGGTAAACATTTTCTGCAAATTCGTGTTGAAATTCTACTGTTTCCGGTTTGTGTATTGATTTTCATGGTCACATGGTTTTCCTATAAACCCAAAAGAAGAGCCAAGAACCAAAATTGAAAAGGAGATAACAATGTACCAAATATGTGAAAGGATGTTTTCAGCGGAGTTATTGTGTCATTATTGTGATATCATGATATCAATTCAATGCTTATAAATCATATAATAATCAAAAAATAATTTTAAGATTCATTCCCAAAATCAAAACATTATTCATTAAAGTGTCTCAGGCAAACAAAAATTACAAAATTGATTGACAAGCCAATATAATCCATTGATAACCCCAATTAAGAGACAAAGAGTTGTATTTACTAAAGGTGTGAAAACTATCAGTGATAGGTAAACAGATGACACTAATGAGTTGGAGTTAGTTATTTTAATATATTGATTAGCTTCACTTAATTTTTTTAATCCTTTAATCATCACAATATAATAAGAATTATGAAGTGTACATGCTCATTTAACACCGAGTTATGTATGCTGTGAAAAATATTTTCATCAAGTGTTGATTGACTTTAAATTTTTCAGGTTCATATTGGTTTATATTCGCTTTTCTCAAACAATAGGTTATTAGTCATACCCTACAAAATCATTGATGCATTACGTAAACAACACATGGCTAATCTAACATTTGAACAGTGAACAAAACAAGAGAAATGAATACATCTTTATTATTAACAGCAATATAAATTATCATGATGAGCATCAACTAAATTCAAACCAAACAAACATTAATGCAGAAATGAATATTATTCCTGGATTTGCATTGGTTTTACCGGCGTTCAGTTACTGTCAGCTGAAAAAAAAATGCCCAAATTTTGTCCGACTTATACGAGGGTCAAGACTAAATCCTTAGAATTTGGAGCTGAAAAGGGCCCCCGACTTATAGTAGGATCGACTATTAGGCGAGTTTATACGGTACTGACCATATAAAAACCAGAACCAGACAAATGACTAAACCTGACGCAAGTACTTTGACAAATTGATAAGGCTGTTGATAACAAAGGCTTGATAAAGTTTCACTTTTATTATATAATATAAGTTTGCCCTTTGGGAGTCAGTATCTCAGCTGGGAAAATTTTGCTCCAGGCCCTGTCGACAACACTTGGTATAGTGGGTAGCCAAGCCCCGTGGACATGGACACTCCGCCAATCAACTGGAACGCAGAGGGTTCCAAAAGGGGATGAAGCGATGCTTCATCTCGTAGCAGGGTGCTACGAAAAGGGGTTGAATTGACGGTGGAGAGATGAAAAGTAGTTAATTACTTGGGGATAAGAAGAGAAATTAACCAGTGGTGAATTTCGTAATGGTCCAAAGATCAGATGTGAAACAGCTGAGTGACCCCCAAGGAATTGAATAGGAAAGTGGTTGTAAGGGGATGGACTTAAAGTTTAACACCTTGGACACCTTCAATACTTCACTGATAATGAAAGATAGAAAATAAAATATGTATTTAATCATATGAATCAGTTTTTAAAATAAAACAAACAAATACATGATATTTAAAATACTCAAATGTTTAATATCTACAGGTATGTATTGTACATGTGCAAATGTACACTATATGGTATAAAATAAGAATAAAAGCAAAAATTATTTTACACAGGATATGACGTAATGGATAGATACAAGAATCATGATGATAACTTTTGTTGTGCCTTTTTAATTACATTTTTACTAGTTCTAATATAGCGACAATAACTATTAGAATTCCATTTACCTAATGTTTTAATTAAGTGATCCTCAATATTAGATTTTCCAGCTGTTATAGCAGCTCCAATTCGAAATGAATGTCCGTTAAAGGACTGAGGATTATATCCACAGATACCCAAAAGATGCTTTAACTTGCTGATGAAAAATTCTCTTTCTAGAGCTTTACCCGATTCGTCAATAAATAAAGCACTATTATTTTGAAATTTTAACATGGTTTTCCTTACAATCAAATAATCATGTAAAGCTTTAAATGGACAACAATCATGATTTAGCTTGTGAAGTTGAATATCAACACCCATCCTGAAAGGGTCAGTCTTAGACTGCTTTAAATGTAAAATAACATAGTCAGAATAAAACAAAGCATCAGATGTACATAAATTGTTGTTACAATCAAATGATTTTGACCTGCGAATTGTAAACTCGCCACAGCTACGAAACCATAAAAAGCTACTGTAAAAGCAGTATATAACATCTGGTCAATAAAAGGTGAAAAAATTCCTTCTTTAAGCTTAACACATAAATGTTGAAAGATATCAAAAGTTATGGGTAAGCGATCTTTAATGATCGGTTTCTGTAATCTTTTAATAGAATTAAAAAACAAGGACAGTCTCTCTAAATTGTTACTAGAATTATTGAAAGGAGAACATATATTGTCCTTCAAGCATCTATGTCTAATTCCACATATGTATAGTTTAATTGTAGAGTACTGTAGTTTGAGGTGTTGAAAGCAATGTGTAGCAAAATATATCAATAGATCTTCTGACACTGAATGAGGCTTGCTGTCAGTGACACTTATACCATTTAATAGCAAAAATTTAAAAAAATTATTATAACCGGTCTCATATGACACTTTTGTCCCTTCAGAAATAGAATAATTCCATAATTTACTAACTGTTTCACTCAGTGCCACATTACTTCTGATGCACTTGGAACTATGCATGGACTCTGTTCTGCTTTTGGGGCCAGCTTGTGAAAACGGGTGATCTGTAAACGAGACAAAGCATCCGAAATTTGGTTCTTATAACCTGGAACATGTTTTGCACTAAAGTAAAAATTATATTTAGCTGCACACCAAGTCAGCTGTCTCATCAATTTCATAATTTCTAGAGTTTTTGATCTCCCCTTTTTCACAATAGCTACAGTGGCCTCATTATCACACCAGAATAATATTCTTTTACAAGACCACTCTGGCCCCCAAAGCAGTGCTGCTACAACAATAGGATATAATTCTAAAAAAGCTATTGAAAGGTTGTTTGTCAATGATGGTAAATCCAAAGGCCAGGTTGAATAAAAGAATTTCCCCTGAAAATAGCCCCCAAATCCTATTGTTGACGCAGCGTCTGTAAATAATTGCATATCAAAGCTACTTGTAAATTCATTTTCATGAAACATAGTAATGCCATTCCAGTTTGACAAAAAACGTAACCAAAAATCCAAGTCTGTTCTACATTCTGTGCTTAAATGCACGAAATCAGACAAATCTTTAACTGTAGTTGACAAATTAATCAAATAAGAAACAAAAGACCTTCCAGGTAAAATAACCCTGGAAGCAAAATTTAAATGTCCCAATAACTGTAAAAGTTCTCTTTTTGTACAAGATGATTTGTGTAATATTTTGCGAATAAAATTGCATATCCTTTGCACCTTATTATCAGGTAATCTGGTTTCCATTTTTTGTGAGTCTAGTATGATACCCAAATATTCTGAACAAGTAGTAGGCTCAACTGTTTTATGACTAGCAATGGGAATGTTAAGCCGTTTAAATATTGTCATCATAATTGCCATTGTCCTCTCTCCATCTTTGTCGGGATGGTCAATTGTTAGGAAATCATCTAATAAATGCAGGATATGCTGTACCTTATAGTTTTTCTCAGCAATATAACACACTGCTTGGGAGACAGTGTCAAAAATTTTAGGACTGGAACAGCATCCAAAGGTGAGCCTAACATAAAAATAATACATAGATTTCCACTTAAAACAAAACAGTGGCCACTGCGTAGGTTTGTAAGGACAAATTTTAATCGCATCGGATATGTCGTACTTGGATAGACTTGCTTTTCTCCCACATTTTGAAATGATGCGGATAGCATCATCTATTTTCACATAAGACATAGAACAATCACTTTTGTCTATCATATCATTAACACTCATACATTCATCATTGTGTGGTGATGACAAATCTAAAATTAATCTTTTCTTATCAGAATATTTCCCCGTTGCTACCCCTAGAGGGCTTACTCTAAAACGAGGAAAAGGACTATGTTGAAATGGCCCATACACAAAACCTTTTTCACATTCTTTCTTTATCAAATCTGAAACAACTGTAGATTGCGACCTAGCCGAGTAATTATTTTTGCATACTTTGGTATCCCATGTATCGTATTTTACCATAGAATCGAAACTATTTCTTAATCCATTTATCAAATATGATCTGAAATTTATATCTGGATGATTCTGCAGCTCATGCTCAAGTTTTTCTATGTTGATAGGAGGTGATGCTTTCATCGAATAATCTTCCAAATGTACATGTAGTCATGATTTGTTATCAGGTTTAGTCTGAGTAACATCTTTGCTACTAGTGTTATTTTTGTAGGTTTGTGAATATTTTTGAGGAACATGAACATTGTGATGGTTTTGTCTATTACCTGTACATGTAGGTGCGGGGTGACCTGTAGATCTACAAGTTGAGCAAGCGTGAAGAAGGTTGCATGTTGTTCTGAAACAACCCCTGACATTATTATAATTGTTACATACTTCTTTGCAGTCGTAAAATACTCTACTACGACCTTGTTAATCAAGCTTGTTTGGCATGTTTGGTCTAACTGACCTGTTGTAACCTAAGTTGCTATCTACATGTATACCCTGATGATCAGAACACTGCAATGCACAAAATTCTGTGGCATGATCAACTTGATGACATAAGTTGCATGCATTTACTCTAATACCCCCACTAACTAGTGAAAGAATGTCACGGTCTCTTTTACTCCAATCAACCTTGATGTGTTTCTCTCTTAGGAGTGTAGCTGCCTTTGCAGAGAACAGCTTATGGTAGGTATAAAATTTTTCTCCATAAAATTTATGGATCTGAATCAAATCTGCTTCATATGCATCAAGCTCTTCACGTCTTTCGGGATATGACACACACATGATTCGCTTATATTTGCCAAAGGCCTGAATAAAATCTTGTATATTCAGGTTCCTGTTAAGACGGGGTCAGGCTTGCTTGATAGATTAACTTTTATTTCATCAGCAGTGATACTGTGTGCTTGAGGGTTTTCGTAATTGGATATTAGCAATGAAGTGAGATTAATGTCCTTACCCTCAATAATATTTCTTTGAATATTGGGCGACACAATATCAACATTGGTGAAAGAATCCGATCGCACTCCATTTCTTGTTGAATCCATTTCGGCACTGTTATGGTGAGAAAACGGTAAGGCACTTGTCGACGGACTATAGCTGAAGTTGAGATGTGCGGCGGTTCTTTGGGTTGTACCAGAAACTGGGATAAGCGGGACATCAGAAGCGTTTCTTTGTTCGTACCAATTAGCTAGATCGTAGGTCTTGGTGAAGGAATCCATTGTTGGTCTAATGTTGGAAACGGATGGTTGCATGCTTGCCATACACTGTGTAAACGTGTTAACCATTGTTGATGTAAACAAAGCGGCCATATTGTTTACATTGGAGTCCGCACGTACGTTTCCGGTTACACTATCCATGCGCGGTGATGGGGCGGAACTTCTTTCATCTGTGGGCGGGTCTTGAAGTACTTCTCTTGGTTGCCTAATATGGTCATCCGCTGCGACGGTTGCACCTTCTTGAATTTCGTCAGTGCATAGGCGCTCCTTGTTGTCTAGATACAGTTGTTTAAGTACTGTTTTAGACCAGCTTTTTGGAATGTTAATTCCTAACTTCCGTAATTCGTCCCGAAATCTTGCACCTGTCCAATTTTCTGGATTTTCCATATCCCATTGCAAGCTTTGTGTTGCATTTTCTTCGTTGTTATATGGATGTTGTCTGTTTCTTGAACGACGGTTACGTCTGGTTGAAGAAGCCATGTTATTTACTGAAGTTTTTATAGCCGTAAAATTACGAAACTGTTTAATAAAATTGATTCAAGTTCTCAAATTTGGGGAAATAATAGTCCAATATTGAATGTCAAGAAGTGATTGGAAAGACGAATTTAAACTGCAATGAATATTATGTCCGAGATCACTGATTTACAATGAGGTTTTAAAGAATTGTCTACAGTTCTTCTGAATAATCGTAATCACACTTAGGAAATAAAGTTGTGTAAAATACCTTGTGTCTCCAAGGCAGGAGAATGAAAATAAAGTTATATAAATCCGATTTCCAGTCCAGACAATCTTCCACAATAAAGTCTCAAGTTTAACAGCAGAAAATCAGTGTAATTAGTAAAACTGTAAAATGAAATTGAAAACTTATTCCTATTGAGTAAACGTCCTTTGTATTCAACAGCAAAATCAAAAGTGAGAAGCTGGCAGCCTGCAATTGTAATCTGAGAACCTAATCCTTGATATCAGACAGACCAAATTAGGCATGACCTTTGACCTTATAATGGAATCGACTGCCCCATCTCATGGAAGAAACCATCCCGTCTGAATAAACAACACTTATACTCTGCATAAGTTACAAATTATACCACATCTTCTTATTTTTATATTTACTTGAAATAGGTTGTATTTGATAAAGAAAAATAATCATCACACTATAAGATTTATTATTAAACATTATTTGTTTATAGGTGAGGACACAGCCTCTGACAGTAATAATGAAGGAGGTGATGATGAAGGATTTGATGAATCAGCAATTGACCCGAAATTATTAAAAAAGCTTAAAATGGTAGGTTGTATACTGTAGCTTAAAATGGTAGGTTGTATACCATGTATACTGTATACTGTAGCTTAAAATGGTAGGTTGTTTACTGTATAATTTTAAAATTGACCACATTCATGATTGTTGTCTACATAGAATTGCAAAACTGAAAATCTCACTTCCAACATTGATTATAAGTTTTCAGAATGATTCATGAATAGCAACCAGTAGTTCTTATCCAAATTTTTATGCCCTGCCATAGGCAACAGGAGGCATTAAGTGGTACCCTTGACTGTCCTTCCCCATTTTCACGTCCGCACTCGAACTTGTTTGCCTCATGCAAATTTTATGAAACTCACACACAATGCTAAAAACCACAACACACAGACTGAGTTCAGATTTGGGCAGTGAGTCATTTACTGTTCTAAGAGTTGTGCCCATTTTTAACTTGGAAAATTGCAAAGCTTGAGTGGGGGCATTCATGTCCTCAGACACATTCTTCTTTTATTTTTTTGTGAAAATGACTACTGGATATCATAACTATGTAGGTTTCTTGTAATTAACGTAATGTGATAATAAACTAGAAACTAGATTGAATCAGAGCAAATATTGAAGAATGATAAATACTTTAATTTAAAAAGGTGATTATGCATTTTATATCAACATTCTATCTTTTATACAATATCATATGCTCTTATTATTTCTTCCAAAATCCATGAAGTATTACAGCAGAATGCATCGAGTGTGTAGGTAAAGGTGATATCTTTGGTTAGCTTGCTTGTTAGCTGAACCGTGAAGTCATATTTAGGTTAGGTAAACTACCCTCCTTTAAGAGTAGACTTGCCCAACAGATAACCAATCTATCTGTCTGTAGGACTAGACTACTCCGGAAGGAGGGTAGTATACCTAACCTAATAATGACTTCACGGTTCAGCTAACAAGCAAGCTAACCAAAGATTCTACCTTTACCTACACATTCGATGCATTCTGCTGTAATGTTTGGAAACCGTACATGCTCATTGAACAGAACAAATAGGTTGTTGATGTAAAGTTTCTAGTTATTGTCTCTGTGTGTAATGTTTGTTTGCTGTCTAAATTTTCATAGTACACATCACTGGGTTAGAACTTTGAGTAGTGACAAGAATTGTACCTGACATCATAGCAAGAATGTTGAGAATTTGATCCTATGTCCATTTATAAATATCAATATTTTGAACAGGGAGCTTCCAAAAAGGCAACAATGTCAAAGAAAAAGATTGAGCAGGAAGACAAATTAAAACTACACAGTGAAACTCAAAGAATCATCAGAGGTAGAGCTATTTATGATGTTTGTTAAATATAGTTTATTTAATAATATTTCTCTTCAAGAGATAGTTTAATTTACCATGTTAAATCACAAGATTTGCCATAAATGTTTGATTTTTAGATTAAAAAAACCCACAGCAGTCATTTATTCATTTCCTCTCTGAACCTACATTCCACCTTGATAACTGTTTTTATTATTATATAAAAACCAAGCCAATTTGGAAAACAAGAAAAATTTGTTATCCTAGATCACCAATGTTAGATATCATTCTTAAAAATCAGGTGAAGGATACAGACTCCTTGGAGCCTTAAGTATTGTATTCACCTTCATTTCAGTTAGAATTTTCATATCTGTTAGAATTAAATTTTTGATTTCTCCTACAGAATCAAGAGTCAATATACCATACCATCAGCCTGAACCTAAGCGTTTACAAGACTTTTTAGCAAGAGCTACGAATAAGCAACAGCAGTATAGGAGTTTACGAGGGACCAGGGACTCATTGTATGTGTATTCATTAGGATTTATCAGTCTTGCCATGATTAACATAGACTGTTTTTATATTATTGTCGCTCCTTTCTATCATTGAACGATACTAATTTTGATGTCTAAAATGTGCATTCAACAAATGTAGAACACAAAATTTTACAGATTATTCCTGGAGGCTGGAACTATCAATGTCATGGTCTGATGGAGCTGAAACAGATAAGAAAATTGCTATTAATTTAAAGCCATGGTTTATGCACACAGAAAAAGAAGTCTATACAATATGAAATCATGTACAGCATTGTTCAGAATTACACTACATACAATAGCTTATATCAAATAAAGAATATGGGGGGGGGAGGAGGGCGGAACTGTCAATTTCAGTTAATCCTTACAAGTAAACTAGATATATAAGTTCCAGTAAACTCTCATACATATCTTGATAATCTCCCCTACTAAGATTTTTCCTCTAATGTACATGCACTAACTGTTATTTATTTTATAGTGTTGTATTTTATTGTCTTTAAAACCAATGTTATAAATTTTAAGTGTCTGTGATTGGTTATTTAAGATTTTCTAATGGAGATCATAAAACAGTTAGTGGTTTACGCCATTACCAAATACAATGTTTATTCGCATTCATTTGTGTGTAATTGAAGGTGATATCAAATACCACTTGCATTTGTCTATACTTTCCTTAGGACATTGTCACATTCTTCTTGAAATTATAGGAACGAAAGACATCTTATACAGTAAAGATATAGTAAATTTGATTAGGAAATATGCAAATAGTGATTGTATTTTTTTTTTTATAATGAATTTTCTTTATTGTAACAAATAGACTAGCACAACATGTATGAACAAAGGTATACAGAATGGCATATTCACACAAAGGAAGTATTAAATAATTAAACAACAATTGGATATATGATGGTGCAACAATAGTGCTTCCAGATTTTTAACCAGAAATATACTTTTTGATTTTTCTTGTATATATTTGTATTAATACATTTTAAAAAATCAAACTATTTTTTATTAATTTTGCAGGAAGGCCAAAGCAATTGAAGAAATACTAACTAAGGCTAAATTGTCATCCAAGAAAGAGGATATTACTGTCCAAAAGGATGATAATGTGACATTGATTGATAAACCAGTTAATAGTGACGATAAAGATGCTGTTTCTACAGAAAGACTTAATGACCAAAATGAAAAACCTGATGGAGAGGAAAAACTGTCTCAAAAACAGACTGGAACTACAGAATCATTGACAAGTCAAAAAGATGATGATTGTGACAGTCTACCAGATATAACTGATCATGTGACTAGTGATAAAATGGATTTAGATGAATCAGTAGAAGAAAACAAAAGTGCTGCAATTTGTACAGATTCTATAAATAACACAGATTGTGATAAAATTGAAAGTGAAAGTAAACCGTCCAGTGATTCTGTGTGTGAGGAGGCAGTTGAAAATACTGCTAGTGTTAAATTGGACAGTGAAAATAAGGAGAACGAATGCTCAGAAACTTTAGAAGATCACAGTAAAAATTTGCCAAAACCTTTAAATAAAAAATTAGCAATATTAGCAGAACTACCCTCTCTTCCTAAACTAAGTGTAGGCCCAGAAGACATTATAGATTTAGAGGTGAATAATGTACAACCTAAAAATCCTGGTGTTAATAAACTGATGGACAGATTTATGGCACATGCAAAGAAAAAACACAAACATGTACAGAAAGATGTGGAACTAAGGTAAATTCAGTTTTCTGGAATTTATAGCCTATGTCTATAACAGTAAGGGGGCCATATTGTTCGGTTTTTTTCAGTCTGTGAATCTGTCTGTTAGTTGCACAAGACAAGTAAAAATGACAAGCTTTATTTAATCATTCATAGACTCTTTCTATTAAAGACATTTTTTGGTGGAAAGAGCTAAAAAGAAAGATTATATAACCAAACTGTTTGTTGGGAATCATCTCCTGCAAATGTTCACTTAATAAACTGAATAACTTTTTTTTGTCAAGCCTGTGACTTTTGTGGCAAAAGCGAGACATAACGATCCTACATTCCGTCGGCGGCGTCCACATATATTCACTCTGTGGTTAAAGTTTTTGAAATTTTAATAACTTTCTTAAACTATCCTGGATTTCTACCAAACTTGGACAGAAGCTTGTTTATGATCATAAGATAGTATCCAGAAGTAAATTTTGTAAAAAAAATCCTGTTTATCTGTATTTAACTTACAAATTGACTTAGTTTTTCTGCCAGTTAAAATTACATTCACTCTGTGGTTAAAGTTTTTAAAATTTTAATAACTTTCTTAACTATCCTGGATTTGTACCAAACTTTGACAGAAGCTTGTTTATCATCAAAATCTAGTATCTAGAAGGAAATTTTTTAAAAATTTATTTCCTGTTTTTCCGTATATTACTTATAAATGGACTTAGTTTTTCTTCCAGTTAAATTTACATACAGACTGCAGTTATAGTTTTTAAAACATTTATTAGATTCATAAACCATCCTGGATTTTTACCAAACTTGGAGAGAAGCTTCTTACTATCAAGAGATAGTATCTAGAGGAAAATTTTTGATAACTTTTTTCCCATTTTTGTTACTGCAAAAGTAGGCGAGACACCGTGTTCCGCGGAACCCTTACAAATTTTATTTATCTTTTTATTTACAGTGTTATACATAAAGAAAAAACAGAAGCTGACAAAGAAGAATTAAAATTAAACACATTTGTCTATCATGTTGAGGAGAAGGAAGATTCCATGAGTCAGTTTGATGCTCCAGGTTAGTAACAAGCTCATCCAAGCTTAAAAATGTTTGTGTTTGGTACCCAGGAGAAGTGTTGAGCAGTCACAAACATGTTTAAACTGGCCTTTTTGCAAGTCAGGAGCCTGTAATCCAGTGGTTGTTGGCTGCTGTGTGTCATAATTGATTTTAGCATATGCAAAGCTTTTGATTTTCTCAATTATTTCACATTGTTATGCCAGCGCTTTTTATAGATTTGAAAGTACTGTGGATTCATCATTATTCGTTGGATACCAATTTTTGTGGACTTCATGGGTACAGGTGAACCACGAAATTAAACGTTCAACGAATAACAAATTTTCTATAGGTTTGTATGCAGATTTCGGCAAAACCACGAAATCGAATATCCATGAACATGCAAGTTTTCCTTAATCCACGAAAAGAAATGAATCCGCAGTATTGTGGATTCATTTTTTGTTTTCTCCAATTGCTGTGGATAAAGAGAAGTTGTATTTTCGTGGATATTTGAATTTATGGTTTTGTTAATGTTTGTATACAAGCCTATATAAAATTTATACTTCTTTGAACAATTAAATTTGTGGTCTACCTATACCTTCTAAATCTATGAAAAACTGGTATCCCAAGAAAAATAATGAGCCCACAGTTTACGGATTTATCAACACTACTGGTGGTACTTGTCTCATTGGCAATTATACCAAATTTTCTTATTTTTATATGAAAAAAATTTGAAAAAATGTCAACATTTTGTATTAAATTTCCAGGAGCGAAACTAGTAGCATTGAAAGAGAAACTACAGCAAAAAATGAAGGTTAAGAGAGAAGAGCATAGGAAACAAAGACAGGAGATATTTGACCTTGATAATGAGGAAGGTTATGCAGATGATGGAGAAGACAAAGTGTTGGATGACGATGAAGAAATGACTGATCAGTCGGATACAGATGTAGAAGACGATCAATTTGATGAGGAATTTGGCGATGAAGAATATGAGGGCGACGAAGAAGACAAAAAAGAGGTAATTTTCAGGAGGTTTGTCTAAAAGGCTATTAAGACTATATGTGTCCCCTGTGTTTCAGAATTGATAAAGTTGAACATCATCTTGCAGAGTTTAAATTTAAATCAAACTTGACCACAATCAGCCTATGGATGTTAAGCTTCAAAGCTTTGTTCCTCATTCTTTTCAACCAGGTGACATAGCTTCTGCTTATGTGGATAATATAGATTGGGTTACCTTACTAATTTTGATCTTTTTGAATGAAAAAAACTATAAAGGCCATAGTCATATTGAAATTTGTATTTTTTATTTTTCAGCAAACAAATTAGACACATTAAACGTTATAGCAAAGTACAGTTTATGTTTTAATAATTTTCACTTTTATTATTAGTTTGCATTGATAAAAAACAATTCTAGCACAGACATTTCCACCTGCTAAAAATAGCTTGTGTTACAGGTTTTATTTTCAAAGTAGTAGGTTTTTATTTTGGGCCAAAATTTCAGAATGTGGTGAATTGTATTTTTTTTTATCCCCAGTTAATTAGTCTCTGCAGATAAAGTTTTTCATTAATGGTCTAGAGATATGCCACAAAGTCATTGGGAAATGACATTTCGCAGTGCACATACCTGGGTCCTGGGATAATCAACAAAAGTTCATACAAAAATCAAGTCAATTGAACCTTCAAATTAAACACAAAATGACGTCGATTAAATTTAGCAATGAGATTGACCTCTAAATCATTCCGAATTAAACATTAAAGTTTTTTTGGGTTGTTACCAATAATTTTATTTTCTTTATTTTGATAACCCCATTGGTAATGGCTCTAGTTTCACAATAGCTAAAGGTGCACATTTATCTTTTCTGATATGATAACAAATTCTACAAGATTTTTATCAACTAGTTTTATAAAGAGCAAACATGCAACATGCATTTACAGAAAAACCCGTTCTGTGATGATGAGGCTGAAGTAGATGATGATGAAGATGAATCTGAATTCAGACTACATATGTCTGATAGTGAAGATGGCAATGATGGAGATGAAGAGAATGAGGATGAAAATGGAAAAGAAGAAAATAGTGATGATGAAGATGGTATATATATTTGATGATTTAGATATTATATCTTGAATAAGTACAATTTCAAAGATTTTTATGTAGTGGGTTGAAATGTTTTATTGTCATTTATCAGTAACTCTTCAGAGTTTAATTTTATTTTATGCAACATTGTATATAAAACTTACAGCAAATTCCTACCCTTTTACTTTAAAAGAATTATTCAATCATTAAGGAGGTTTGTGGCAGAGTGGTGTAAGTAGTTCATCTACAGTGATCATTAGCCTGTTAACACCAAAGTAGTGAGTTCTAACCATGCTGGTTGGTAGGTGCTTTCGACTCTGATCTGAAGTGAATAGGATTGCCCATTTTCGTGCTAAGGTGTATGATTCTCTGCTGGTACTCTGGCTTACTCCATCAAAAAACATAGTAGCTGTGATAGAGCCAAGGGTGCTGAAAGTGTCCTTTAACACCAGCAACCAGTAAATAACAACACATAACTCTTTGTCTTTGTTTAGAATTTGGAAAATTACACTCTTTGTCAGAAAGTTTCATGAGATGTATTCATTTAAAAGATATTGACAAATACAGAGGTTGCTGAGCAAAATCTTAATGATTTGCTTAGGAAAGTCAGAGGAATGGATGGATGGCAAATAAACATGCATATCAGGACGAGAACTTTTTTTTATGTGATATGAATATGAAACCTGGTTTGTACTACAACAACACCCTGAGTCAGACTTTTAACATGCTAGTATTACATACATTGTAGAAACAGTCCACAGGAAGACATGTCACCCTACCTTGACACATTATTCTTACTCTGAGCCTACCAGTCTTTTCTCTAACTCCATAACGCTGCATTAAGATTAGAAGCAGCAAATACCTATTTTCAAGTCTTTGGTTTTCCCTGTCAGGTATCAAACCCACAACCTAATGAACTCAAGGTGAGCATGCTCCTATGAGAAAACTGAGTGGATAATTTAAGAGGCAAGCAAGCACCCTTCATTCATTTATCAGAAAGAATATAACATTGTTATCAGAGAATTGATGTTCTTTTATAGATATTATAAAATCAAACAAGCCATCTTCTCTGAAAAAGAAACCAAGAGTTCTACATATAAGTGATGATGAAGAAAGCAAACAGTCAGCACCAGCTAATGTTGAGGACAGTCAGCAGTCGGCAGAATTAAATAGTGATCATAGTAAGATTGACTTTAAATAGTATAATTTCAGGTGTTCTTTTACAGCATAACGCATTTATGTGATAATAAAATTGTTGTTGTTTCTATTTGGAAGTTACCACATGCAATAAAATTGATAAACACATGAATGATTTGTGTTAAAAGAATTTATATATAACAGAAGTATTATGATTTTTGACAAAAATTTATAGTTTATTTTTGAATTATTTATTGCATCATAAATAGCTGAAAAAGGTCAAATTCTAAAAACAATTGCTATAAATATATTTTTTTTTTCCCAAAGGAAAAGTTTTGTTGTTAGTTTTTGATATGCAACACTGGCACATGGCAAAAAAAGCCTTACGAAAGTTTTAATATTTTGTTGGCAACTAGAATTACCAATGGTATTTTTAATTTTTGCAACAATATTGTTAATGTTTTACTTATTATTGTTTTACAGATAAAGAAAGTAACAAAGAACAAAAATGTAATGAGTCTATAGAAGAGGAAGCTTTTACACCATTTTCCAAACATTTATCAGGATTGGACAATACCCAGGTATGAAATGGATTTAACTTCTTGTGGGTGATTCAGTGTTATTCAAGCTCTATAGTTCCTCTTGCTTTCATTGACACTACAATGCTGGTATTTCCATGCTTCTTAAAAAAAACTTAGGTTTTCAATGTACCAGCCAAGAAATATATCTAAAATGTGTTTCTGAAGATGAAGGTACACATATATTGCTGTAGTTGATTAAACCAAAGATCAATAAACAACTTTTATAATTACTTCCTAGTCCAGAAACAGTGCTATTGTATCTTTCAGAGATTCAACACTGAACTGACATATTTAGTGTGGGGAAATATTTCAGTTGTGGCCATCAGTTGGTCAATGGATTCGAAAAACAAGCAACAAATCGAAGAATTCAAAATAAAACATACATCAATACAGAATGAAAAGGATAATACTTCATCCTTTTATTTATTTCATATATTTTAAGAAGGAAAGTATCGTATGTGTTTCTTTCAAAATTGTTTAAATTTTTTCCCAAATTCATGAATACCAATTTAACATTCAACCTTTTAAAATATTTTGTGTAAAGTTGCTTGTTTCTGATTTGATGTAAAATAATGGTTAATATTAGGACCTAAGTTAAGACTGTTATTCACATGTACATGTTAATATATATCATCTTGTGTCCTTAATCTAAGATATGGAATGGTCTGATCAGTTTTCTGGCAGTCCTCCTGCAAATACAATTACCTTGAGGATATCCAATCCAGCAACTTTATATGACGTTGCTAATGTTTCCATCATGCTATGCGGCAATCTTTACAATAGTAACTGTCATAATATCATATATGGTTATTCTTATTGAGTGTCATGTATCAATTTTAAAATATAAGCATTTGGAAACATTTTTGATAATATAATTTTTTATATGACAATACAATGTAGCATAATATAATTTTTAAACAGCAGCCATTAAAGAAAAGTCTATCATTGCCAATAGAAGAATCTCAGGATCTATATGGAAAGAACAGTGCTACCCAGGGAAATAACTTTTACATAGAGGAATCACAAATGTTGGATGCTGATGGGTAAGCTTGAATGAAAAAAGTCTTTAATTACTAACTTCTACATCCTTGGGTCCATGGTGCAGATTTGTCTAATTGGCAATCATACCACATCTTATTTTTATATTAAGACTATATCTACTTATCCCTTATATCAAAAGTAACCTGTTGAACATCATTTATTGAATAAGCAACCAGATAAGCCAATTATATGTATTTCAGAAAAACATTGTATTCTTGAAATGGGTTGAGTATTTCTCATGTTACCACCTTTCATATTTGGCTACTTTTTTGTTTTAGATTTTTGAAATTTGGATCTGAGAAAAAACCACAGCAGTCAAGATCAGATTCACCCAACTTTAAAAACTTAATACAGAGCCAAGATACTGGTGACATGGATGAATTGCTGGGTCTATGCTCAGGACGATTTGCAGGCGAGTTTAATTTTCTAATGATGTATGATGATATATTGTTCAGAATAATTGCATGCAAAACTTTCTTAACCCATGGCAAAAACAAGAACATTATTGATGAGGTTTTGTGATTCAACTTACGATCACTGCTTTATTACAGAGAGCTACCCAGTTTTTGTATGTTATCCAGTGTCTACCTTGATGACTTCTTTCCTTGCAAAAAGGATTTATTAATGTAAGATTTAAACCTTCAATTACAGATGATGACAAAAGAACACCATCCTGCAAGAACTTATTTGGATTAAACTCACAAACAGCACCTGACAGTACACAGGGTAACATGGAGGAACTATTAGGATTATGCTCAGGGAAATTTGTCTCAAAGTAAGGATATTTGTTGTTAATATTTTGAATTGCATCCTATATTGATTGTTGCTTGCTCAACATTTCATAGGAGAGTAGAGTGTAAAACTATCAATGTGTATAAACAAAATTGTAATATTACACACATCATACACTAATATTTGGATTTTGCTCTGATATTTGTGTTTTTGTGAACGAAAATAAGTAAGGAAACCATATGCTATTAATGAGACAAACTGACTAAAATTCAGTCATTCAGTAGGACAAAAGTTCAAAGGGTTCAAATTCATTTTTGTGATTAACTGTAATGATTTATTGTCGAGCCTGCGACTTTTGTCGCAAAAGCGAGACATAGCGATCCTACATTCCGTCGTCGTCGGCAGCGTCCACAATTATTCACTCTGTGGTTAAAGTTTTTGAAATTTAATAACTTTCTTAAACTATCCTGGATTTCTACCAAACTTGGACAGAAGCTTGTTTATGATCATAAGATAGTATCCAGAAGTAAATTTTGTAAAAAAAAAAAATCCTGTTTATCTGTATTTTACTTATAAATGGACTTAGTTTTTCTGCCCGTTTACATTACATTCACTCTGTGGTTAAAGTTTTTAAAATTTTAATAACGTTCTTAAAATATTCTGGATTTCTACCAGACTTATACAGAAGCTTGTTTATGATCATAAGATAGTATCCAGAAGTAAATTTTGTAAAAAAAAAAAATCCTGTTTATCCGTATTTTACTTATAAATGGACTTAGTTTTTCTGCCAGTTAACATTACATTCACTCTGTGATTACAGTTTAAAAAATTTTAATAACTTTCTTAAACTATCCTGGATTTGTACCAAACTTGGACAGAAGCTTGTTTATTATCAAAAGCAAGTATCTAGAAGGAAATTTTGTAAAAATTTATTTCCTGTTTTTCCATATATTACTTTAAATGGACTTAGTTTTTCTTCCAGTTAACATTACATAGTCTGCAGTTAAAGTTTTTAAAACATTTATTAGATTCATAAACTGTGTTGCTGGAATTTTACCAAACTTGGACAGAAGCTTCTTACAATCAAGAGATAGTATCTAGAGGGAAATTTTTAATAATTTTTTCCCCATTTTTGTTGAGCCTGCGACTTTTGTCTTCCAGACAGTCAATAGATTTGATTGCATACTGTATTCATTTTTTACAAGCATAACTTTTTTCATACATTTCAAATGTTTTATTTCATTAACTGTAAATCTATTATGTGCATTCCCCTATCACACTGAAAACATAGACAACAGTAAAAGTAAGCTAGACACTGGTCCCTGCGGAACCCTTACAAATTTTATATGTAAGAAATTACATTTCAACTACCACTGATGCCATTCTGTCAAATTCTGGATAAAAATGTCAAAATTTTGAATACAGTAAAATATTCAAACCTTAATGCTTAAGCCAGAAAAATGTATGTGCTGTACAGTGCATTTTTTCTATTCATATACTTAAAGTCACAAATGATCAACAGACATGACAGATGTCAGATAAATGTGGTGTAAAGAAATATGGCATACATACATCATTTAAAATCTATTGGCAATTATTAAAATATTGCTAAAATTCAAATGTACATATGATTATGATATTGTGCCTATTCCTTACTGTTTGATATATGTCCAGATATCTGTAGCATTCAATTCTGTGCAGGAGTAATATCTAAAAAAAGTATTCCTTCTTATGAGTGTTCTTTTTTCTCTTTAGTACACAAGCCACACAGAAGCCGTCAAGGATCAAACGCAAGGCTGACTTTGATGAGGACAGCAATTCATCATTGCAGATGGTTAGTGAGGCTGAGGAAGAGGAGTTTGATGAAAAACAGAAGGTAAATCTTACTTTGTTTACATGAACATGGTAAAAGTCATCCGACAATTTTTTTTTGCATCCAAAATAAAAAAATCTTAAAATGTCAGCTATCGTTTGTGATGAAAATAACTTGAGTGCTTCATGTTAGCATGTTAGGCCATTTGAAAAAAATGTAAAGATGTGTTAATGAGTCCGAAAAAAATCCCATTTGTATTATAGTTATGTTCATGTGACTGAATTTGCAACAATATTACATTTTAGAAAACCTTCAGCGATGATGAACCAGATAATGAAGATGGTGATACTAATTCAGTTCATTCAGAAGAAAACATTCGTCCATTTAAAGGATTGGTTTCTGGAAAGACAGGGTGAATATTTTTTAAACATTATAAACTCTTAACTAAAAGGATATGACAAGTTTTTCTGTGCCCCACCATTTAAAGTGTTGGGGAGTATTTATTTACCTCTTTCAGCCAGATATAGGATATATGGTCCTCTGTTGAACTTTCTCTTACATTCTTGCTTCTATCTAGTTTTCTCGTTATTTTTGACACTATTAAGACTGTTGTGATATACTGGTATTACTATGTTGATAACGTTGTATGTCTGTCATCTAATTTATTATTTGTTGCCTCATTGCTGTTGTTATAGTTGACTGACTCTAATGAAGTTTTAGCTCATGGCTATGCTTGCAAGCAAAATATATTTGAAAGCTACTAATATTTAGAGTTTTGATTTGTGAGTATTGCTCACAGATTATTTTGTTAATGATTTTGAAGATAAATTTCAAATTCATGCATTTTTCAATAGCACAAAGATTATGTTATAATTTAAAATGATTAACCTCCCGTCAACCAGTATAACTCATTCGTTAAAAAGAACAATTGGTCTATTGAATTTGATGTGAATTTATATATTAGTTTTATTTTATTCTATGTAGAAAAATCCGGAAAGAGTTTGTGGATGAGGAGGCAGAATTGTCAGGTATGTACAGCACGCATATACCTGTTAAAAGTTTAATGAAAACCAAAGAAGCAGCACACATCAGACAAACATGGCCTTGATTAGATCAAACAAGATTTTTTTCAGTATGTACAGAAGAAATCTTTTATTGCATACTGTAAATTCAGAAATTATTGCGAGGTTTTTTTCAATGGAAATATGGCCTTTATTTGAATGTAATCTACCAACATGATTCTATTTATACATCCAATAATCAACTTAATGAATCCCCTCTCAGTAAGGAAATACTGCTTGACTGAAGTCAAGTAGCCATATTTCTTTACCATAGCTACCCTTGAGGTCAGCAATTGTGAAGATAGACAATAGTGTGAATTTATTTAATATGATTGCTAGTGAATAGAAAGTATATAAGGCTATTTTATTTGAAGTATTTAGTGCAAATAGTTGATGACAAATGAGAAGGAAGGTCAGTGCTTAATTTCAGACAACATATCTGATAAGAAAAAAGCTAATCATGAACATTTCAGCAGGACTTACACTCAATTTGTCATAGATTTTAGTGGAAAGAAACTAGCTGATATTTTTGTCTCGCTTGACGGAGTCAAAAAAGCAAGACATAGATATGCTGTTTCCGGCGGCGGCGTCAACAATGTATTAGTTTGTGATTAGGTTCTAGTTCATGGTGAACCACTAGTGGTAAGTTAAAGATATTTGGTATGCAGTTGTATTAGTATTGGCACATCTCATTACCATGGAGATTATTTGGCCCCGCCCCCTCAGTTATGGTCTATTGACTTTGAAATTTTTGCTTAGTTTTCATGTATTAGTTTGTGATTAGGTCAGTTAATTGGGAACCACTAGTGGTAAGTTAATGATAATTGGTATGCAGTTGTATAAGCATTGGCATATCTCATTTCCATGGAGATTATTTGTCCCCGCCCCCTCAGTCATGGTCTATTGACTTTGAAACTTTTACTTAGTTTTCATGTATTAGTTTGTGATTAGGTCGGTTTATGGGGTTTATATCGGTTTAATGATATTTAGTATGCAGTTGTATTAGCATTGGTACATCTCATTACAATGGAGATTATTTGACCCTGCCCCCTCAGTTATGGTTTATTGAATTTGAAATTTTGCTTAGTTTACATGTATTAGTTTGTTTTTAGGTTTGTTTAAAGGGAACTACTTGTGATAAGTCAATGGTATTTGGTATGCAGTTGTTTTAGCATTGGCACATCTCATTTCCATGGAGATTGTTTGGCCATATGTACCTTCAGTCATGATTCATTGACTTTGAATATTTGCAAAACTTACATGTAAAAGTGTTGCTATTTTAATTTCAACATTTGCATTATCGAAATAACCAAAAAGCGAGACCTATCTCTTTGATAACAGTTTATTTGTATTTTGTAGAAATCATGTGCATAAAAATATTCACAACTTTTTTCTGTTTGGGATATTGTATAGACACCCATCTTTTGTGAAGACTGTGTATAGACCTATAGCTATCTTATGGTTGCTGTCTCATTAACAAACCCCACATGGATTTGGTCATGCGTTTGTTGTAATTTATGAGGCTACTAATATGACAGTGTTGAGAATGTATGTTGATGTGTTTGTTATCTGTACAGGTAGTGAATATGACAGTGACGAGAATGTAGATCTAGCAGAGGAAGATGATATAATGGAAGCAGAATTAGGTGATGCTGATGTCACAGCTACAGAAGATGAACTTAGAGACCAAGTTGGTAGAGCTCATTTGTAAGTTGAAACATTGAAAGAATTTTTAATTTTGATATTATACACTGTTGATTCATTGATTTTCATGGTTATTCTAATATGACATCCTTCTTTCGCTTTGGAAACAAAGCCATGTTCTAATTACAATAAAACATGGGCTGCATGTGATTTGACGTCACAATTGATATTGCAATGTCAGTTGTATTTTAAACAACTCCAGAGGTCGAAATGGACAGTTTTGTTGGTGTTGCTCCCTAGGAAATTAAATAAAATCATTCTAAAAGTAAGTTTACGTATATATGTTGATTTTTTTAACATTTTTGGTTCATCAAATCAAAATGGCTGCCTTATGAATGTGTACTATTGGTCTGCTTCGAAGTACAAAAGCTCTAAATATTCCTATCAGGATCGAAATAATTCTATCATGCCATGCTTTATGCTCATTTTAACATGGGTAGGCACTATATTTGTCAATATTTTACACCTCGCTAAAGCTCGGTCTAAAGATATTGACAAATATAATGCCTACCCATGTTAAAATGAGCATAAAGCATGGCATGAAAGAATTATTTCTTAAGCAATTTTCCTGGATTAAGGAAAAATTGTAGTTTTGTGGATATTTGAATTTTGTGGTTTTACAAAAGTGTACATACAAGCCTATAAAAACATTTTGTTGAACATTTAAGTTTGTGGTTCTTCTGTACCCACAAAATCCATGAAAATTTATATCCCACGAATAATAATGAACTCACTGTAGGCAGCCTTAAGATCAAATGGTCAAAGGGTACTTAAAAATCTTTCAGTTATTGGACACAGTATTTAGGCAACCATAAGATTAAATAATCAGATTTGAAAAAGAATTTGATACTTGGATTCTTGAATAAACAATATTACAACTAACATTATATTGTCTGTATTTTTAAAAATCTTTGCATTGTTTTAATAGAAGACCTTTCTATGAAATAACTAGAGCTTGGTTTATTTTGTAGGAAGCAGTTGATAGATGATGACAAACGTGAATTAATGAGATTCCAGGAAATGTACCTCCCTGATGGAGATTTACACTCAGATGCTGGCAGACTGAGGAGGTTTAAGTGGAGTAATATTGGTAAATATTTATATCTTATTCTTACAGACTAATTTTTTAAAGTTGAAAAACTACATAGATTGTGACAAGTTTTTTGCTCTGAATACTTTTCAAGCTTAACTGGGTGAAGATTGGTTGAATTTGGATGTAATTTCCCTGTTTATTGATGGTATTATTGTCATATTTAATGCCAGCTGAAAAACAGTATCTTAATCATTCCATATATCCAAAAGTTTAATTTTTTACTTTAAATTTAATTAGTGGCAGGTTGCCCTAAAGTGATCAGTCTGTCCGTCTGTAACAAATTGTGTCCGCTCTATATCTAGAGAACCGTTATAATTTCATACTTAATACTTGACATGTATATTAACCAACACCAGAGGGTGTGTCATAATGTTTGTACAACTTCCAAGGTAAAAAGTTCAAGGTCAGCGGGGCCCACAGAGATGGCTCCCATCTCAATGATGTCTAGTTTTCTTCTCACAGTGAAATTCTGTCCTTACTGATTATAGAAAATTTGTACTTCATTAAACATTCAAATTTGTGGTCCATGAAATCCATTAAAATTTGGTATTCAAAGAGTAATAATGAATCCACAGTAAACCTTTTTTTCACCCAACAGATGATGACACACAGCAGGATATGTTCTATGACCAGTCTGATGAAGAGAAAGAAGATGAAGAAGGGGAAGAGGCAAAATGGAGAAAAGACAGATTTGAAAGAGAAAAATGGCTTCAGGAACAGCAGATGGTTAGTATTGGAGATTATTCCTAAATTCAAAATTTAATTTGTGCATTGATTATTTTGAATATAAGATACCCTACTGTAATGGTAGATAAATTAATGCAATTCATGTTCAAGTAATAGAAAATGCAAATCTTTGACAACCCCTGTAATGCCAGATGATATAATGTGATTCATTTTCAAATTACTGTAATTTAAAAGTAGTTGTGATGTTTTTATTTTGCAAAAAATTGCAACAGGATTGGTTTCACAAAAATAAAAACTCGCATTTTAAATTTTAGTACCATAATTTGTAAACATTTCATGAAGTGCAATCACTAATCTGACATTTTTGTTAATTGTTCAATAATAAATGCATGCAAACATTTCTGAATTTACAGTATACAAAAATACAAACCTTGACAACCCCTTGTAGTGCCAGATTAATTAATGCGCATCATGTTCAGTCATGTAGAAAAATAATTACAGCAAAAATTAAATTGTGAGTTTTTGTCATTGTGGTGCTCATATTCTGTGGCATTTTTAGCTTAAATGAAAACATCACATTAGTTTTATGCTAAATGTACAGTAAATATTGTTCTAGATTATGGGCTATGGTTCATAGTTCAGTGAATATTGCATCATTATTTCTCAAAACTTGATTTGTAGTATACATGATACTACCAAAATTATCCAAGTCTTATTGTGTCATTGACCGTAAAAAGCAGTAACACCAATGTCAGGTTTTTATTGGTGAAAAATTCATGATTATAAAATATTTAAAAAAAAAAAAAAGGTATTTCCAGTCTTCACCATTCCGGCAAAAAAATAATTCTATAAAGTATGTATATATTTATAAATTTGTATCAATTCCAAAACATTTGTCTTTGTCCCCCGTGTTGTAACACATTTCATAAATTAAAAAAAAAATCATTACACATCTGTATGATAAAAGGGTGAAATACCAGAATAAAATTTTTTTAAATGTCAACATTGATTTTTTATTTTTTGATACTGTTTTAGTATTAGTACTTTTATAAATGGTACACTTATAATTTCAGGAGAATGAAAAAGCTGAAGATGAAGATAGTCAGTTCTTGAAATTGGGGAAAGTATTTTTAAAGAGAAGAGGTATGTAGTGTCAATTATGGCTTATAGTATATACAAAAATAGACAAAAAGAATGTGTAAAAGGGTGAAAGATTCCAAGGGAGCAATCAAAAACCATTAAATGAAGGAAAACAGACAGGAAACAAGTCTTGGTATCACAAACCCCATCAAAAACAGTGGTGAACTCAGGTGCTCTGGAAGGGTCAGCTGTTCCAGTTCCAGAAGTGACACCTGTCTTATATTAGAGCATCATGACATTTTAATTCTCAAATGCTGAAACTTGACCTAATGTGAAAGTTTGAAATGAAATCAATAATTTTAGGGCAGATACTTTACCTTGTACCAGGTGAATTTGAATAGTCCTTTTCAAGTGAAAATAATTGTCACATTCATCCCAAAGCAACAACTTACCATTATTTAAACCTATCATTTAAAAAAAATGTATAAGTAAGGATTTTTTTTAAACAATGTATAGTTTGATATTGAAACCTATTTTTGAGAGAGAAATTGATATTTTTATTGCAGCTTAAATTTTTGTTTTATTTCTAAAATTAAGAATTCTTATTTTTACCCAGATATTATATATTGGTGCAAGGTTTTATTTTGTCCTGAAAATTAAGTCTGGGTTGTACCCCTTTAACAGTTGCAGTCAAGAAATATATAACTGAAAATGATGTGCTTCATTTGCAGATTCTGATTCAACTTTGTTAAAGAAACCAGAACCTGTTCCTGCTAAAACAGGGAAGCAGTCCACAGCATTACCTGTCCCAAAATTATCATCTGTAGGTATTCATATATCTTCAAAGCAATTCCTTTTAAAAATTGCTCTTATTAAAAGTATTCTTGTTTATTCTCTATGAAAGGTATACAAATGCTTGCTATGGGTTTGTTTCAGCTTTTCATAAGTTCAAAAATATGCATACTATAATTTAAATTCATAAATGTTCATCTGGGGTAAAAAGATATGAGGCAGATAAACATGAACATTTCCAACATATAATGTGAAAACCCATTTATCAGAAAAACAGCCTGTTTATTGGTGTTCTTCATCTGAAATTATTGAAGGTCTTCAACAATTAGGTAAAAAATTGCACCTTGAAATAAGACCTAGATGTCTATATATAGTTTTATGATCATAATGCCGTTAAGTGGTTTTCATCAGATATCGTCAAAGCCCGTATGCAGGTGTTTACTATAAATAACATTAACAGCTGATGTTGCCTTTTAGCTACCAAAGGGCCACATGAGCTTTTCTCATCACTTGGCCTCCATCATCCTTGTCTGTTAACTTTTACAAAAATCTTCTCCTCTGAAACTACTGAGCGAAATTAAACCAAACTTTGCCACAATCATCATTGGGGTATTTAGTTTTAAAAAATGTGTCCAATGATCCCAGCTGCCAACCAAGATGGCCGACCTATAGATAGAGAAAATCTCACAGGGGCAGACATGTTCAGAATGTTGAGCTCTATCGTCTATCTTGTGTCAAAACTGTCAGATGACTTCTTGTAGGAGTTATTGCCCTAAAATGATGAATTTTACTACTTTTTTCCATTTTTGCCTATTAGCTTGAAAACTAATAGATAGAGAGAAACTTTAAATAGCAAAAATGATCAAACAAGTCAAATAGCAGAAATTGTCAGTTGACTCAGACTCAGGCCTGGGGCCATTACATTGCAATGTAATGCATTACATTACAATTACTTTGTGATTCTTTCATTACAATTACATTTTTTCTCACATGCAATGCATTACATTACAATTACTTTGCCTGTGTAATGCATTACATTACACATTACTTTTTCAATATAAAAACTAAAAACATTTCAAAAACAGATTGTTATAAGAAAATGATAATTATTACCGGGGTATATATATATATATATATATACAGTGTTAGTGACATAGACTTCAAATACTGATTAATTAACATGTCCATGCTTGCACTTTATCATCATAAGTGTTTCAAATGTGCTGTCATTAAGAGAACAGCAATCAGGTCTGTACACCTTTCCACTAATACTAAAAAGCCTTTCTACAGGAGCTGATGTGGAGGGAATGGCTAATTATCATATAATTTTGTTTCTAACATTGATCACTTAATCATTAAGACATCATAAAGGAATTTCAAAGGGATATAATAAATGTGTCATTTTAAGGATTATCTTGTTAAATGCCTAAGGGCCCTGCGAGGACAAACATAAGTTGAGAAGATTTGATTGCAATAAAAACATTTTGATATTAATTAGGTGAAATAACAACACAGACAGGACCCAAACCACTGTTTGGTGTAAAAATGTTGATTGACATATTCAATCTTTCATTGAAATACATGTAAGGTGTGTATAGAATTATGAAAAATTCATCTTCATATTTTTACCACTCATCTATATACATGATATAGTTTTGTTTAATATTTTTTTTAGAAGATTTTTCATGGACCACCAAACACCAAAATATTCCCAATATCATTTTATACAAATATCAGAAACTAAGATCAAGACTTGATAATTTTCACCATTTTATTCAATACTTTCTTTTGTTTTTGTTAATATTTTATTTTTATTTTACTATATTCTTCAATTTTATGTATTTTACCAATTTGTAATGAAAAGTAATGTACAGTAATAGAAGCATTACATTGTTTTTTAACTAAAGTAATCATTACATGTAATTGTAATTGTAATGCAGAAAATGGGCATTACAAATTACTTTGCATTACATCAAAAAAATGTAATATTACAATGCATTACAATTACAAATTACCATTACCCCAGGCCTGCTCAGACTTATGGCCTATAATGACCATTTTTACTAATTTTTTTGCCATTTTGCCTTAAATCTTTAAAACTGCAATAGATAGATAAAAACTTTAAGCTGCAAAAGTGATCAGCAAGACAAAATCTTCAAATAAGTCTAATGGTCGAATTCTTCAATCGACTGGTTATTGAAGTTATTGCTCTTTAATGACATTTTTTACCAATTTTTGGCGGTTTTTGACGATTATCTTGAAAACTATATAAGATAGAAAGAAACTTTATATAACAAAAATGATCAGCAAGACAAGATCTACAATCAGGTCAAATTTTGCAGAAAAAATTAGAAGATAGGAGTGATTGCCCTTAATTGACGATTTTTTGTTTACCATCTTTTGTGTTTTGGGCAAAAACTAAATAAGATAGAGAGAAACTGTAAACAGTAGTCTACAATGTTGAAGATGCATATAGACCTAGGTGAGCGACACAGGCTCTTTAAGAGCCTCTAGTTTTGTCATTGGCTATTTCTGATTTTCCTTTTATACTTTTATCGTAAACTAGTTGAATGCTGTGGAGTATAGGTTTTTATGAAAACTTTAATTATACCCCCGCTTTAAAAAAGTGGGGGTATACTGTTTTACCTCTGTTTGTCAGTCAGTCCATCCATCCGTTAGTCCGTCTGTCCGTCCCATGAATATTTTTCGTCACATCATAAGGATTTCTGAAATTTGATTTCAGGGTTTATATAAGTCAGCTATACAGTGTGATGCGTTTTCAGGTTCATCACTCAACAACTTCCTGTTTACCGAACACTTGTATCATTTTACACATGATAGCCAAGTTGAAAATTTTCGTCACATTTTTCTCAGGAACAACAATACAAGGATTTATGAAATTTAGTTTCAGGGTTTATATAAGTCAGCTATACCATGTGCTGCGTTTTCAGATTCATCACTCAACAACTTCCTGTTAACCGGAATATTTGGGTGGGGGTATCATCAGTGAGCAGTAGCTCGCAGTTTCACTTGTTTATATGTTTCTGTCTTTTTTGTAATCGGCTATTTCAGATTTTCCTCATATAGATTTATAACGTATATTTTCAGAGTCAAAGAAGAGGATCATTTTTGTGCAGAGATAAGGATACTCTAGCAAAGATTGCTAACATGGCAAAACCAACAGTTAATCCTTCAGGTGCCAGGAGTTCTGGGAAATTTACCTTCCAAGTGATATCCCCTGATAAAGATTCTCAGGTAAATTTAAAAATGTATATGTATTCAAGCACATGTGTCCTGTGGTTTGTTTTAAAAAGTGATTTCTTTACAAGTTACCCATATCAAGATCTTGTTTTTTGACAAAAAATATCCTTTAAAATCTTTTGACTTTTATAGAAATTTTATGCCAAACATAAGGAGAAGTTCATAATCTTCTTATTCTAATGTATATAAAATTCCTAGAAATATATTTTTAGTGTCGAAAAAAATCAAGCAATATCCCAAACATAATGATTAGGGCCAATCAGCTCTTCAAATTTCTTCCTTTTTCCTCTGGAACAAAACATTGAAAAATTGTCTAAATCGAAAGAAAGCTTATCTTGATGGACCCAACTTGTAAAATTCAATTATTTATTGAAGCAAACTTGAGTTATTGTGAGACTAAGTCAGATGGATGGACAATGGCATATCAAAAAGAATATGATAGCATTTTAAACAATTAGAAGTATTGGAACATTACAACACTAGTGCAGGCTAGTACAGAATTTCCTCATGATATATATACATTTTTCAAATCATTGAAAATCTGTATTTAGATATATGTATTGTATATTGAAAGAATGAAATTAATGAACTGGTATTGACATTTTATTTTATAGGCAATGCCTGCACCTGCAGAACCTAAAGTCAAGAGATCCACTAGCATGCAACCACCTTCAAAGAAACCAAGATTAGAACGAAGTGCTTCATTTTCACAGAGTAGCATATTTAACCATTTGTAAGGTTCAGTTCTAAATGCAAAGATCTCTTGATGTGCTTTGGAAGACATTATAAGCAGTTCGACTTTTTGGACATTCATGTCTTATAGAACAATATATGTTTCATCAATGACTCTTTCATTTAAGTTTTAGTAAGTTTAAGTAGAAAAACTTGATTTAGACATATGCAACTACTCAAAAAGTGGTTTAAATGCACAGACCTAATTTTATCCTAAAATCTGAAAGAGTAAAATGTTGTCAGTGATTTCTAAAGGATCACTACTCACTAATGTTTAAGAATTCAACTTCAAAAGAAACCTCTATGAATATAGACACTATTTTGCTAAAAAAAATTGCTAGATTCCTTTACATTTGTAATTTCAACTTGATGTTATACTATATTGCTCTCATTATTGTGAGGATAATTTTCATTGAAGAATTTGAATGTATCCTTAAATCAAGGCCTCCAAAACGGTCGTATTTGCTGGACAAATGTCAGTTTACCGGACATTGACCGACTGGGCCAAGCATGAAACGGATATCCTATGTGGGTTTGCCATTTTAACATTCATGCGATTCAGAAAAATCAACCAATTAGACTTGACCTTGTGCCTTAAACAGCCACACTTTTTCGGTCATAAAAGTGACAGTAATCCAAAAAGAAGCCCTACTGTAATCCCCTTTCATTACAATCAATGTTAATTAAGTGTCAAACAGGTGAGTATTACCTGTGATCGCCAGTGTTGGAATAAAATATTTGTACCGGACATCAATCGATCTTTTTGAAGGATATTTTTTTATTAAAATTAAAAACATTCCTGGTTTAAATCTAACAACTTTTAAGCAAAATAAATTGAGACTATCGAAAAAACGTATTTATGACGATAAGACCATAATTTTTAAGCAAACAGGTAAACTATTTTGTACCGGACGTTGATCGTTCTATTTATTTAAAAGTTTTTTTGTTTTTTTTTTTAATTTCAGCGGTTTGCATATTATCAATTTAGTCAAAAAAATTTATATTATGTAAAATACACGCTACATGAACATAATTTGATGAAAATTGTAAAAGGTAGCATTAAAGGTTGTAAACAAAAAATTGTCAGAACCACGTTGTTTGAAACTAGTACATGTGTATGCATGTGCACAGGTGTGAGGTTTAATTATGCATCCGATTTTTTTTTTAATGCTAAAATCATCATTGATACCTTAATCTAACATGTCTAAAGTTCATTTTGATATTTTCCTGAAGAAATAAAGTGAAAACAGCTACTTTAACTCAAGCATGCTTTGTAAATGTATACAGATTTTACGTATTTGTCTCCGGTCCATGTTTCACCATTGTAAAGTCAACATCCGGTATTAGAAAAATGTGTTTTTTTAAATCGAAAGCGAAGTTGTTGACAGCATAATTTTCCACAAATAAAGAGTCTAAGGCAGATATTAGAACGCTGATGATGCACACTTCGAATGATGCACCGTCAGTTTATGTCAAAACATCGAATCTTTATCAAAAGTCAAGTTTAAATTAAAATCGTTTATGTATCATTCATTGTTCATGTGGTGCCCAACTGATTAAAATGCTTGCCTTTTGTTACTAAGTCTTCAGGTATTGAAATCGGGATAAGACAAAAAATGTTCAGCTGGCTCAAATACATTTTGGAAGCCCTGCCTTAAATGTAAATATTTCCCTTTCCCTAAAGATTTTTATTTGTACACAGTAAAAGAAAAATTATGATAACAAATTTTGTTTGGTATTTTAAGTGTCTTGTATTCATTTTTATGAGTGGAAAAAGATTGTCCAAGTAATGTTGTATTATATTTGTACTTAGGTATACATTGTACCAAAATATGTACCAAAATATCGTGTAACATTTTTTGGTAAAGATATGCTATGTATAATTTATGTAAATATATATTTATATCAGAAGTATGAAAATTTTAAAAATACAGTGAATTAAAGTGCTTGACTTAATTTTTAGTTGCTGATAGGCTTGAATTTAACCATGTCTTGCTCAGTTGCATTGTTTGCAAATCTTGTGTGAAAAAATATATTGAAGACCATATGACACCCATTTTCAGGCATCCATGCTCCATCATATTCACAAATCTATCCAAATTATTTGAGCAAGTAAAACCAACATCTGTGAGATTTTGATAACTTATGCTATTTTTTGTTTTCCCTTAAAAATCACTTACCAGGAGGTTGTTTTCCCTTAAAACGATCACTTACCAGGGGGCTTAGCCTTCTTGATAAATTGCAAGGCATCTGGATTTGCTCATAACATTTTTGAAAAACATTTTAAAATGATTTCACAACATCTTGTGGACAAAATGTAAATTAATGCTGCACCAATTCTACACCCCCAACCCCCCACCCCTTTTGCCCCTGTTTTCTTCTTTCTTGTGTCCATAGAACTGAAATAATGAAGCTTTAATGTTATTAGTAACAATAATTTGGATAAGACAATGTCCTATTTTTTTCGGGATAAAATGCAATATGTGTTGGAATGCTGTGTGCATATTTAGATGATGTTTCTGTTTATCTTAAAATTCATTTAAAAGTCACAATTCAGCAAGTGAATAATTGAATTGTATCTTAACATTTGTTGATGTTAGTGTTGGATTTTTACAGGCACAAATAGCCAACACCTGGCCTGGAAAACTCAATTTTTGACAGTAAAATCAATTGACATAGACAAGTATGAAAATACAGTTATTCCTTAATTATCATCAGTATGTGATAAGTAGGCTCTAAAGATTGACTGATCAGCTGAACAAAATTTTCTTCTTGGCACCCACTTGTAAATCTTGTTCATCTTTGTCTTTTAATCTAGTCTGATTGTAAAAATAAGGTGAGGTGATATGATTGCCAATGAGACAAATATCCACCAGAGACCAAAGGAAGAGGATGTAAACCACTGTAGGGTGCAGTCAAGTCTTCAACAATGAGCAAAACCTATACTGTATAGTAAGCTATAGAAGGCCCCAGCATGACAAATTGTTATTGTGGAAGCTGATATTTTCTGGAGAACTACTGAGCAATCAAATGTCAACTGATTCAGTATATTATTCTTATGAATTCTATGCTAAAGAAAGATATAGCAATTTCAACATTGCGCATTGTACAATATTGACGAGTTTTTAGAGTAAGAAAGTATGATATTGATGTTATGGAAACATCTTCCGTAGGTTACTTTCAATTAAAATGTTTGAATTGTTTGCTTTAAATTTTTACATGAAAAAGAAGTTTCAGTACAAACTAAAATATATATTAAATTTGCCAAAATTGAGAATCAATGAAGACTTGATCAGTTTTGTGTGTGAATGAACAAATTTTGTCAATCCAGAATATTTCTTTTTTTTTTTTAATCTGACCCTAAAAAAAAAAATTGCAGTAAATAGTATGATTCTTGCTAACTCGACCAAAAGTTGATCCTTGATGTTAGTAGGATGGTAAATATTATTCAATGGGCTATTGTGAGTTATTCCCATTATTTGGTGTCTGGTGCATCATATGTCTTACTATTTTTGGAAGCTATGACAAATTTGGTGGGAAGGTCCTTTGGTAATGATCACTCCCATCAGAAAATGGCATTAAAGACCAATGAATAAGTGATACATTTTTCAGCTCAACACTTTATCCATGATGTTTGCAACAGTAATTTGTTGTGCACACAGAAATAAGTGTTGTAGGTTTGCATCACAATAACTGGTTCAGTACCACTCCTGGTGGACATTCTGGCCCTAAAACAGTACTATCAGTCAATACCATTCCCGGTGGACATTCTGGCCTAAAACATTACTATCAGTCAATACCACTCCTGGTGGACATTCTGGCCTAAAACAGTACTATCAGTCAATACCACTCCTGGTGGACATTCTGGCCTAAAACAGTACTATCAGTCAATACCACTCCTGGTGGACATTCTGGCCTAAAACAGTACCATCAGTCAATACCACTCCTGGTGGACATTCTGGCCTAAAACAGTACTATCAGTCAATACCACTCCTGGTGGACTTTCTGGCCTAAAACAGTACCATCTAGCACTTGCATGAATTAAATGATAAATTTTCATTGCAAATTCAAATTTTTGCGTTGAGGTTTCATGAGACCTGGCCTTACAACCTAAAAAAGTTTGAGTTAGATTATTGTAATCAAACTTCGAATTCAACCAATCAATACACTGGATTTGATGTTAGCACAAGCTTTGTATGAGTACTACTGGGTAAGTAAAAATCATTTATTGACAAAGGGCCTGGTCAGTCAGTCTTTCAACCTTTATTTGATGTTCATATTGTCTGGTTCTGTTGTCAAGATGAGATCTGTCTCTCAATAATTATGAATGATAGGTTTTAAATATTTCAACCACTTTAGTGGCTTCTTAGTTGAGTGCTTCCAATTAGCTTCGGACACTGTGGTTGTGATCTCTATCCAGGTCAAACCAAGGACTAGAAAATTGGTATTCACTGATTCTCTACTAAGCAGGTTGTATTTAGGAGTAAGGACAAAGAATGGTTAGGCGAAAGTCAGAATAATTAGTCAACATAGGGTGATATGTCTTTCCTTGGAATTACCAAAATCTGGCTAAGTGTCGTTTTAGTACATGGCAGGGTTTATATTTGTATCCCATTACAGTAACATGTCATCCTTAATCTGCATATATTTGCCACTAGGTCATTTAACAGTCATCCATCATTTAAAATGTTTCTAGTGTGTTATAAGGAGTATATGTTTGATGACATAGTATGAAGTCAGGATAAGGTCAGATCCTCAGGTTTTATATTACCTGCAATGGTGGTTATCCCAGTAGCCTGAACCCTGAGTATATAAAGGCAGGACAGGAGTTTTGAGTAGAAAAAAAGGCAAGATGACAATGTAACAAAAGTCAGGATAAACTAATGAAAAAAGGCAGGACCGAATAGAATGAAAAATAAAAAGGCAGGACAGAGATTACAACTATAAAAAAATGCAGGACAAAACTTTTCATCCTAGCCCACCCCCCTAAAAATCAAATGATAGCTCCCTTATTGCCCTTCGACAGGTAAAACTTGTGCAGTGGACATTGGAACCTTGTTCTTTTATA